GAAGAGGGGTTGGATCACGTACTCAGCTTGATATTCCCTTCCATCGAGAGCAATATGTTGTCCGACTTGATGTCGCGGTGGATAACCCCCTTGGAGTGGAGATGCTGCAGGCCCAACAGCGTTTCGCGGCAGACCGACGCGATCTGGCCCTCCGTCATGATGTTGAACGTGACAACGTCCGTTAGGCTGCCGCCCTCCATAAACTCCATGACGACCCAGAGCTCTCCTCCGCACAGATAGCTGTCGATAAAGTTGACGATGTTGGGGTGTGAGCTGTCCTTCATGACGAGAATCTCGTTGATGATCAGATCCTTCTTGGGCTGCTGCTCCAGATTCATCTGCTTGATGGCAACCAGGCGGTTGTTTCCCCTTTCGTGGCCCGTGTACACGCCACCCGATGCGCCCTGTCCGATCTTGGTGAAGCCGCGGTAGATATCGCGCGGGTCGCCCTCGGAGCAGATCCTCTTCAGGGCCGCTACCACGTCCACGCCGTTGCTCTGTCGAGGGCGGTGACGAGGTCGTGACTGCGGCACGGCCCCAACCTGCGGCTGCGGCGGCCTCTGTGACTGACCGGCGCCATTGGCCTCGGGCGGCCTCGCATACTGGTGCTGCGATTGCGGGGGTGTCGTTTGCTGCGGCTGTTGCTGTCTCTTGCTCGGCGCGCGCCCGACCTGCCCGGACATGGCGGCCTGTGCCTGCGCCATGGCCTGCTCCTGCTGCTGCTGGACTAGTTGCTGTTGGTAGGCGGCCTGAACGGCAGGGGACTGCTGGTGCTGCTGGTGCTGATGATGCTGTTGATGCTGCTGCTGCTGATGCTGCTGCTGGTGCTGTTGGGAGGATGAGTAGGAGCCATTGCCGTTCACTCGCGAGTTGGATCGTGACCGGTGTTCTTCTGGAAGCATAGGATTGGCGTCTTTGGCCGGGGTTTGTTGGTAAGCTACGGGAGGCGCATCATCGGCGGCGGGTGGCGGCATACCAATTCCAGAGTCCTTCCCAGGGTATGGGGCTTGAGGGGCCGTTCGGGTAGGCAAGCTGACGGGCGGTCTCGGGGCCGGTCTGCTGGGCATCAGGTTGATGTCCTTGGCCGGTAGTGGGCCCGGTCCCTTTGGCACTGGTGGCGGTGATCGCGGGTTCTCGAAGCTCCCCTCATGGTTGACGGCGGCGTATCGTGGACTCGCGGGTGGACTGATCAGGGGTGCCATGGACATGTAGCTAGCAGGCAACATGCCGGGCGACATGGCCGAGGTCGACGACGCCTGCGTGGGCATCCCTGGTCTGGCATCGTGGAACTTTTCTAGCACTTGGTCTACCTGGGGCTTCTCGGTCGTCTCCTTGTAGAAGGTGATGACGTTGACGAGGGTTTCGGGGTTCTCTCTTCGCTCCTTCTCGGTAATGCCACTCTCGTTGATCAATCGTTGCCACTCCTTGGGTAGACCCTACGGCGTGTTCAATCGCGTGGTTAGAAACGAATTCTTCAATAGGGGTAAAAGCGGCCGCATGTGAGGAGGAATAGTAACACGTGCGGGTGGAGGGACGGCGATCAGAACCAAGTGGGCAATGAGGGGAAACGAAGGATAAGAATTAAGAGAGAGAGAAAAAAAAGTCAAGCGAATGGGATTGTTTCAGCAACAGCAAGGAACAACAAACCGTGAACTGTCCCGTCGTGCTGTCATAACCCACGTGGGTGACATGTACGGGATTTTCTGGAGCCGAGATCAGTGGTTTTTTCGGGGTGCCGACCAGGCTGGTCATGAAGCCGGAGAAGCCCGACTTCTTCCTCAGGACGCCAGGCATTCGAGGCTCCTTTGTCTCGTCCGAGAAGCGCTTGTTGAGGGACGACGGACCGTCGGCGCCCTTGCTGGAGCCCGACTTCTCACTCATGGCCGGCAGGTCGTTGGAGAAGCTCGCGGAATGGCGCAGCACAGGGGTACCCCTGGTTGCGGGATGCGAAGAGGAAGCAGCAGCAGAGCCGGCGGCAGCGGTTGTGGTGTTGGCAGTGGGGAGAGGAGAGGGGAAGGGCCGACTGATATGCGGCAGGCCGGAACTCGGGGCGGTCGGGTGGGAGCCGTCGAGGCGGTTGAGGATTGCGGTGCCGTCGAAGGGGGCGCCGACGAAGTCTTCTGAGGACTGGGAGCTGAGTGGATTGTGCTGCTGCTGCTGGTGCAGCTGATGGGGGTGGTTGTGTTGGTTGTGGTGAGCGGGCGGCTGCTGGTGGTGGTGCTGCTGGAGGTGCTGCTGCAGCTGATGGGACGACGGGTAGACGTTGTGGCTCTGGCTGCGGCGGTGGCTGGAGGTGCTCTGGCTGCTGTGGAGGCGCTGTGCCTGCTGGTGGGGGTCTGAGTCGCGATCGGCCCAGGCGGCGGCGGCGGCAACGGCGGCGGCAGGCGAGTGGGCCAGGGCAAAGTCGCCGGCGGGCAGGACGGGCGAGTGATTGGGACGGGTCGAGGGCGCAAAGGTGGCCGACTGCGGGTGCCGGGGCGACGAGGTTTTGGACGACGCGGTGGTGGCAGCCCTGGATAGTGGAGCGGTTGGCGCGCGGCGGAGGCTGCTCGAGCTGCGTTTGCTCACGAGCGATTGGGCGTCAAGGCGACCATCGGTGCTCAGCGTCGAGCTGTGGTTCTGGCGCGCCGACGGGGGCGGCTTCTTGACGAGTTTGCGCCGCTGCGAATTGCTGCCGTGGATGGTCGTGTCCAGGTCTCGGTGCTGTCCGTCCATGATCCGACGACCCAGGAGCCAGGAGCTTTGAGGGGTGAACGCGGGCGCTTCAATGGTCTGGTCTGCAAGGTCTGGTGTGCAAGGTCAGGCCTTGCCTCGAGGGCCTCTGGCTGTGCACGCACCAGACGCCGCTGCGCAGGTGGGATGGCGGGCGGGCGCCTGGGGGGTGGCTCAAATTTGGGGGGGGGGCCTGGCTACCTTCCTTGTTGGTGCCCTTGGTGCCTTATGCAAACGAAGGCTGTGGTGTGGGATGGCGCTGTGCTCTGAGCGGTGCAGAAGGGGAGAGAAAAAACTTCAGATGCACACCCATTCCCATTCCGCACGGCCAGGTACCTACCAGGTTTGAGTCGAGATCGGGTCGGGTGGGTGACTGGGTATACTAACTAGGTAGGGGTCCTCGACGGGCGAAACGACCAAGACGTGCGAGAAGCCCCGAGGGAAGATGCATGGGCAGCAGCTGCACAGTCTACGAGGTTTAGTAGCATCGAGGCCAACAACCGGTTTCTGCCCGTGGCCGATGGCAGCCAACGCCTTTTTTCCCCCTCCTGTCGGGATTGGCCGCGCAGACCTCTCTCTGGTGTAATTACATCACCTGTCGCGAGCCTGCCCACTGGTTCCGCCGTGCTTCAGGGTCGCAAGCAGGGAAGGGGGTTGCAGACCGGACTGGGGACATGCGTCAATACGATTGACCGACTGACTGATTGATGCGACGGCTCAGTGGGGCGCTGTCTTGTGCAACACTCCATTAGCAGCTAGGCGGCCAAACAATTGGGAGTGTGCACTTGCTTTTTCTTTGCTATTATCCCTTATATCCGTACCTGGGTACGTATTCTTCTTTACTGTCCTGGTAGGTGCACAGTACCTCTATCTAGGGGCTTTGGGTAGGTGGTACGGCTAGGTTACCCTTTGGGACTCCATCAACAAAAAGAGAGTAGCTGGCCCAATTGTGTCTCCCACTATCCTCAAGCGCCCTCGAAAGCATGTGTGCCCTCGAAAAGAGGCCTTTGCAGGAAACCTCGACTTCTCACGAAAGCTACCATCTCCACACTGTGGACAGCGGTGCTGGAGATGGGCGGGGAGGTGCCCGTCCCTCAGGTTGGCGCGAGTGGGGAAACACGTTGACGGTTGAAAGATTGCAGGGTCTCGGCTGTCGTCCCACGCTTGCCTCAGCCTCCAGTGGGCGCTCTGGTCGAAACAGTGGATGAATGGAATGGATGTGCCATGCCGCCGTCCCACAGGAGCGGTGCCGCAAGCGGATGACACAACATTGCTGCTGAAAGGTCCCGGATAATTGCCATGCAGCAAGGAAGCAGCGACACAGGCGCAAAATCTCTGGTCTGGGAACTGGATTGGGATTATGACTCGGGATTTTCTATTTGTGTCATTTCATCGGGCAGATCGAGTTCCCCATGCTCGTTTCTGTTTGGGGCGTACACTTCCATTCTGTTTGTCTGGGCACCAGCTTCCATGTCAGTTTCCAAGCGGAGAGTGACCACACGCATTTGGCCCCCAATCTGCCAACCGATTTCCATCCACCCTCCATTGACCGAGTTGCTACAATACGTACCTACACACCACGGTCCCGAGAATGCGAAAGCGGGGTCTTGTTCCCATTTGCCGCTTCTTCCTTCTCCAGGAACAATGATAAGATGTCAGTAGGTAGGTGAGGTGTGTAGTAAGCCGGCATCGCTTGCGTGCCCTCTGGTCAGTAATCGAGATGCTCGTCCCGCTGCAAATGCAAATCACTTCGACGCCGTGCAGAAGCAAGACGAGCTCGACGGCAGAGGAAGCAATAGAAAGCAAACCCCTCCCCGGTGGATCATGGGATCCTCTGATGGGTTCGTTGCCGGGAACGGCGCTTCTTGCTAGCTGAGCTGTGAAGCTTCGAGACCACTTGTCTCTTGTCTGCCGTGGACGAGCGAAACAGGCCCTGGTTGAGAAAGCAAAAAGGCCAGGATACCTGGAAGCGCGCACATTGGCTCCCGGGCTGCGTCCCCAGCACCAGTTTCAGGGCTGGCGAGCAGCGGCGAGTTGTTGGGACAGCAGCTCCCATCTGGTGGCGCACCTTCAACCGTCCTCAATTCCGAGTCGTGACTCGCAGAGTAACCGCCGTCAGTGCAGAAGGGCCACAAACGGGCCGTTGGGGTCGGCGCCAAAAAAAAAAAAAAGAAAAAAAAAGGGGGAAGACGGGAGGAGGGATGAAATAAAATTGCAGAGCCGCGAGCTAGCTGCTATCAGTCGCGGGATGGATGGGAGCCGTCGGTTTATATCAAGGATATCATGGAAGCCAGCAACGCCATCCACCCCCGTCAATACTGTCTCTTCATTTCGAGACGCACTACCATTGTCATGTTGGAGGTTGCGCACTCACGTCGCTCGCTCTGGCCGGGCGCAATCTTTTTAGCACAATGTGGGGGGCGCTAATAGAGGCTTATGAACACATTGGCTGTTCAATTTGTCTTTTCTCTGTTGTTCCGGCCGTTTTGAGTTCGCGTCACTCTCATCCAACGAACATGCGGGTCCGATGCAATGGCGCACGAACTCGATCAATTCCACCACTCCAACCCATTCGTTTTACTGACGAAGCTCCTGGCCTCAATTGTCTGGACCTTGCATATGGATGGATTGGCACAGCCAATGTCGTCTTGGATGGTGGCGCCGGACCGGTTCTGCAAAGTATTTATTATTTATGCATGCACGCACGGCAACTGTCTAATCGAGGTGTCTGTCGCTATGCAGCCCGTTAGAGAGCCAACCCCTCGGGTTCTCCTTCTTTTCTTTTGGTACTGGTTAATCGGCAAATGTGGACATCCAATACCGCCCAAGGAGGACCGGGTGAGAGCATTCACCATCATTCCGCCGTTGCTTTAGCACCGACGGGCACGTCCGGCCTGCGGGCGTCATCCACTCACATCTTGCCGTGGCTCAAGCGGGCCGTCATCCGATCGTTCCTTGGCTTCATCACGCCTTGCGTGACCCCTCTGGCGTTCACTGTAAAGCAGCATTCGGCGGAGGAGACCACGTTGGAACTGCACCCGAGATTGCATGTGCCACAAAAGCGCCCTCCACAAGGTAGACCACGCCATGAACAGCCGGAGGACGAGGTGCTCTCGGGATCGTGCATCGGTGAGTGGCATCTAGGCTGCGTGCTGTTCGTCCGACCATAACGCACCTCCTTTATCTCACATATGCCGCTCCGCTGTCACAAGCTCCGCAATGCTTGGTAGAAAGATTCCTGCCAGGTGGATTCCACACAGCCGCCGGAAAGCGGTTTGGTGCCTTGGAAGCTCTTTGAGTCGTCCGAGCGGTGGGTATTAGGATCAGTCCCGTCAGCGCCAGCCAGGTGGCCAACGCATCTTTCTGGCCTCGTTCGCGTTGGCAGCAACGCTCGGGGTGATTCAGTTCCACCACACAAGCATGTAGCCAACGCAGACCGCTTGACTCGCGATAGTTGCCTTGCTCGCGTGCCCGCACATGGCGAGGCTTGTGTCTGGTGATTTGAGAGACGGCAGTACATGTTGGGGAGGATGAGGCTTGACGCAGCCAGCTGAAGTCACGCCAACTCAAGGCCCCTAGCCCAAGCCTCAAGAGACGCCGCAGGTGGGGTGTGGGGATCTTGCCTGTCCCTGGCGGACCCCTGTTCTAAACGGCAAAATCGAATTGGATCTAGAACTTCAGGGAAAGTGCAACGCTGTCCTCCGGATTGCGTCGACCCTGAAAAAAGATCACGAACAACCTGCTCCTCGTGCAAAGTAAGTCGCCTGTCAGACCCCCAAGCCTGGTGCAATCGCTCCGTGATCCCCTCGCCGTGTCCCCCCAACAAGTGTGCTTGCATCATGTTCTAGAGAGCAGCTTGCCCAAACTCTCTGCTCGCCGCCGCCGCCTCCCCCAAGCCCCGTACGTTCCCATATTCAAGGTACCGACCACCACACCCTCCTTCAGCTCCCACCGCCGGCGGCTCTGGCCGTGCGTGTCAGCGGCCTTGCGCTCTGGTTGCCCAAGCCTCTGTTGCGGTGCCCAGGTGCCACCAGTCTGGGGCAGCCGGAAATCCCGTCCTCTCGCTTACACACACCGACCTCCCCCTCTCCCTTGCATCATCCCCTTGGACCTGGCCTCCGCCCGCGGCCGCCGTCGGCCTCGCTGTGCTCCGCCTGCCAAGTCGGCCGGTGACCGCAACATCGCATCACGGTAGCACCGTCTGTGCAACCGCCTGGCACGACAGCCCCATGCTAATTGATGGTCCACCAGGCTGCCTTCCTCTCCAGTTACACTCCCATTGTGCCACCCCTTGCTGGGACCGGCCCTCCGTCTACCGCCTGTCCGATATCGTCCGACTCCTGCCTGATCCACGATGGCTTCGACCGCCGCCCCCGACCATGTCGACGGCGCTGAGCCCGGCTCTCTCGCGGACCAGCTCCGCCAGAACCACACCGTGACCGTCGAAGACGCCGAAGATCCCGATCTCCCGCAGCATTCGCCCCAGCCCGCGGCTGCCAAGGCCGCCAGCAAGCAGAATGCCTCCCCGGCCCCTTCGGCTAGCATCGACACCCACTCCCACGAGCTGTTCCCCGAACTTGGCGGGCCCAAGAAGGCCAATACTGCCGTCCCCCCTGTCTGGAGCGCCAAGACGGCCTCCAATGGTTCCAAGGCCGACGGCGGCACCCCCGTCGATGCCGACTCCGGCGCCTCCACCCCGAACGGCTCCCGCGGCGGTCCCCCGGCCCTCTCAATCCCCGGCCGCAACGTCACCCATGTGTTCCTAGAACCGCAGCAGATCATGCCCCGTGCCCAGCTCAAGCGGCCTATCCCGGACATCCTGAAAGATCTCAACCGCAAGTCCCGTGCCAACGTCACCATGAGCTCCGCCCCGAACGGCCGTCTTCGCTTCGAGGCTACCGGACCCCAGGACGTCGCCCACCAGGCCCTCAAAGACCTCGTTCAGCAGATCGGCGCCAAGGTGCGTGGCGCTGTGCCAATGCCATGGCGTGCCTGTGGCTATCCATTCCATTCCGTGGTTCCCGTGCTGAGATTGATCCCTGAACCCGTGCTGACCTTCGTTTCCGCCTTGTAGCAAACCGTCAAGGTATCAATCCCCCACTCCTCTAGGTCCCACATCATCGGAAAGCAGGGCTCGACCATCAAGGCGCTCCAGGAGAAGACGGGTGCTCGGATCCAGCTTCCCAAGGACGCCGGCGCGGGCCCTGTGGATGATGACGACGACGCCATGGTCGATGTCCTCATCGAAGGAAATGCCCTGTCCGCCCGTGCTGCCCAGGATGCCGTCCTGGCTATCGCGAAGGAGCGGTCTGCCAACGTTAGCACAAAGCTGCGCAGCATCCCGGCCGAGTTCTATCCCTTTATCGGCCAGGGCTTGGCTTTTGGCGACGATGTCAACGTGCGGATACCACCCCACCAGCCATGGTCGTCACAACCCCCGTCGGCTCCCCCGGCCGGACAGCGGCCCGCCTTCAACCCCGCGCCGTTGGAGAGCTTCATCCATCTGGCTGGAGAGCGTGCTGCCGTGCAGGCCGCGCGCGCCGACATCGAGCGCAAGGTAGAGGAGCTCCGCCAACAGCTGATGCTGGAGCAGCTGTCCATCCAGCGGGGCAGGCATCAGTTCATCATCGGCGACCGCGGCGTCCCCATAGAAGATTTCTTCGACGAGACGGGCTGTGCCATCATCCTGCCGACCGATGAGGATGACGACATGGTGACCATCGTCGGACCCGCCAGCAAGCTGCAGGCGGGCGCGGAGAAGGCGATGGATCTGGCGCTTAACATGCAATGCTCGAACCTCGACATCTCGAGATTCCACCGCCAGGCGCCGGGCGGCGCCGCCGCACACGCGCGCAACGTGACCCGCTACCTTCGCCAGCGTGATGAGATCAAACGCCTCGAGAGGATGTACAACACCCACATCAACACCCCCTTCACTCGCGAGGGCGCTCTGCCCTGGGAGCTCTACGCCCGCGATGGCAAGAACGCCATCCGTGCACAGTCCGAGATCAAGGGCCTCGTGGACAGCCACCCCCCTTCGCGCATGGCCACCGTTCCTATTGACCCGTTCTTCCACACCTACTTGAGGGACGAGGTCAAGAACAGGGTCAAGGAGACGTATGGCGTCCAACTGGTCGTTCCTGAGACCTCTGACGTCGGCGCGCCCGTGCTGCTTGTTTTCGAGGAGGTTGCCCCCGTCGACGCCGAGTATCAGGTCCCGCGCGCTGCCCCGTCCGCAGCCGACGTCAAGGCGTTCCAGGAGGGTCTTAGTGCCGCCAAGAAGCACCTCATCGACATCATTGGCCACCAAGAGCAGATCACGTCGATTCCCATCGACGTGCCTCACAAGTAAGCCCATCCCCCACCTTCTTGCCCCTTGATGGCTGTCGTTTCGCTAACCAACACGTGCCTCTCTCTGCTTCTAGGTTCCACGACAAGCTCAAGAGGTTCATCAAGAAGGAGCAGGAGAACCGGGCCCCCGACCAGATTCGCGTCCGGGTTTCTGCCCTGGGAACCACGGTCACCCTCCGTGGTCCCAAATCCTCAGTCGAGAGACTCGCTACCAAGGTCGTCGCCTTCATTCAGCAAGAGACCGAGGACGAGAAGGAGCGCGGCTTCACGCTTGAGTTCGACTTCCCGCAAAAGTTTGCCAATCATCTGATCGGAAAGGGTGGTAGCAACATCCGCGAGCTGCGGGAGAAGTTTGACGTCGAGATCCAGGTCCAGGATGGCAAGGTTGAGCTCAAGGGACCAAAGGCCAAGGCCGAGGCCGCAAGGTCTCACATCCAGAGCTGGGCTCGCCAGCTGGCCGACGAGATGACGCACGTGCTGAAGATCGACCCCAAGTTCCATAGGGAGCTTATCGGAACCCAGGGTTCCCAGATCAACCGCCTTCAGACCAGGTACAAGGTCCTGATCTTCTTCCCTCGCTCGGCCAAGCCGGCCAAGGATGATGACGACTCGGCGGCCGACGCGGCTAGTGATGCGGGAGCCAAGCAGCGAAGGCAGCAAGCACCCGACGAGGTGCTGATCAGGGGGCCCAAGAAGGGTGCAGACGAGGCCCGCGACGAGATCCTGTCCCTGGTCCAGTACTCAAGGGATCACTCGTACACGGCCACCGTGCCTGTCCAGCAGAAGCAGCTTCCTCATTTCATCGGCTCAGGCGGCTCCGTCATGGACGCTCTCCGCACCGAGACGGGCGCCAAGATCGACATCCCCAATGGCAGGGAATCTCCCGACACCATTGTCGAGATTCTGATCAAGGGCACCAAGTCTCAGGTCGCGGCGGCTAAGAAGATCTTGGAGGAAAAGAAGTCGGTGTTCGACGACACGGTCGTCCGGGAGATCGAGGTGGAGCGCAAGTATCACAAGGCACTCATCGGTGCCGGAGGTAAGTCCCTTCTGTAACGTTCGCTGTCTTCTGGCGCTATGGTGCTCGGGTACTGACGTGCGACTATCCAGGCGCCACCCTCAAGGACATTGTCGTGTCTGCCGGCGGCTCCGACGACCGCCGCGAGCTGGCCCGTACTGTGCGCTTCCCCAAGCAGGACTCTGACGGCAACACCATCAAGATCGAGGGACGCACAGATATTGTGGAGAAGATCGTTGCCAAGATACAAGAGATTGTGTCTCAGCGCGAGAGCCAGGTTTCCGAGGTGATCGACGTGCCCATCGAGAAGCACAGGACACTGATCGGCCGCGGCGGTGACGTGAAGCGGCAGCTGGAGGCCAAGTTGAAGGTGTCGATTGACATCCCCAAGCAGGGTGATGGCAAGACGGGCGTCAAGATATCTGGCCTGCCCGCCGACGTGGAATCCGCCAAGGAGCACATCCAGTCGCTGGTCAAGGAGCAGCAGGGCGAGACGGTCGAGGTGCCGCGCAGCCTGCACCATGCCGTCTCCAACGGCGGGCAGATCTTCCGCAAGCTCCGTAACGACCACCAGGTCACGGTCGACCACGCCGGCCATGCCGTGCCGCCCAAGCCGTCTCAGTCGGCCGGCGCGCGTAGCAACGGCGGCGCGCTGCCGCTCATCACGGATGAGCCGGCGGCTGATGCGCACTCGTGGAATGTGGTCGAGAGCGCCGGCGCCGGCTCTGACGAGGACCAGGGCATGATCCCCTGGGTCCTGCGCGGCCCGCCCGCCGGCATCGAGAAGGCCAAGAAGCTGATCGACACGGCGCTGGAGCAGGCCCAGAAGGGCAGCGCCACGGGCTACCTCAACCTGGCGGACCCGCGTACCTGCCGCTTCGTCATCGGCCAGGGCGGCAGCAAGGTCAACCAGATCCGCAAGCAGACGGGATGCCAGATCACGGTGCCGCGCCAGGGCAGCGACGACGCCATCGAGATCGTCGGTACCAAAGACGGCGTCGAGAAGGCCAAGGACCTCATCCTGGCTGCTGTCGAGGAGGGCTCCCGCGGAGCAAGCAGGGATTAGAACTCCTCGCCATCGCGGCAGGCACAACAGGCTGACAGCGTTTGGTAGTGCGTTTTTTCTTTTTCTTTTTTTTTTCTTTCGTCTCACCATACAAACGGTCGGTCGGTGGGTTGGCTGTGTTTTTATGGCGGGGCTATGCCATTTTGATTTGATTTGCCAGAGTCACTGGACACACCGGGAGAAAGAACGGATGAATGGGTCTAATGTGCGTCCTTGGTGTGCTGGCGGGCTTGGGCGAAATCAAACAAGAGAAGGGAGAAAAAAAGGAAGGGGGTTATCAAGGAACGGAAACGATGATATCACGAAAGACAATACAAAGCCATTAGAGGAGGCATTATTCCAGCGTCGCTTCAGTTAATCTATGCACAAGATAGGCAGCCAGGCTTCCATAAATAAATAATACATTGTCTTGTGCACACCACATGTATCATTGCAAGCTGCTGCACCACGGATCTCATTTGCTCTGAACACACCAGTTGAAAACCGCCATGGTTGATAATCACCACCTAAACTCTGCTGTCCCACTCTTTCGTCCTCGGTTTCTTCCTCGCTTGCTCAAAGATTGTCTCCTCACTGCTGGAGATTGACGGCAACGGGCTCATATTAGTATCCCTAGTGGTAGAATATAAAAGCGATCAAATGCCGATGTTGTGGGCACGATGATGACAATGGATGTAAAGTAGGAATTACAGATATATATATATATAAAGCAGTGTATCCGCCCAAAGAGACAGCTTTCGCGAAGCCCGGCGCATGGTTTCCGACTTCTACCCCGTCCGTCCGTCACGTTGGGCTGTTCGCTGCTGCTTCCTCGGAAGTTGGCCACGAAGCCGGCGGAACGCATCCCTCAGACCAAGCCCGTTGAACGTCGTCTTGGTTCGGTCATCCCGGTCCGCAGCGCTTTGGGGCGACATGTGGGAGGTCCACAGGTTGGGGGGCCTCTAGCCCCTACCGCCTCCATCGGACTGGCTCCTAGCCCGAGCATCGTGCTGCTCCTCGACGCGGCGGAGGAACTCCTCAGGGATGCGGGCCTCAAACTCGAGGACGCGCTGGCGGAGCCACTCGGACACGGTCGGGATGCGCGCCTCCCAGCCGTCGCGCAGCAGCCGACGCCACTCCTCGGGCACCTCGACCTGGATGCCGCGCTGCTGCGCTCCCATTTGGTACAGCCCAATCATGCTCTCGAGGAGTAGCGCCGCCCCTTGCTCCGCCGCCACCCCCTGTGGCATCTCGCCAGGCCCGGGCAGGATCCCCGCCACCTGGGCCGCGTTCTGCCCTCCGATGTTGTGGAGACCGGGGAGCACAAGCGATTCTATCGCTTCGCTCAGCTTATTCCTAGAAACGAGGCCGTGAAACGATCAATCTTTGTCAGAAGCATTCCGGAAGGAAACCCGAGACAGACTGCGCATCTCTCTAGTCTCTGATCAGCCAGGACTGAGCGGTGGGCTACTCCCTTACATGTACTCTCTATCGGCATCAGTTGGCGCGCGTTGCGGACCTGCGGGGGTGGCACCCCCAGCACCAGCCGCGGCAGCACCAGCGGTGGTGGGGACCGGCGGGGACGGACGATGAGGTGTTATCGTGGAGCTACTGCTAGGAGCGGGAGCAGTAGTCGCGGCGGTACTCGATTCCGCGCTCCTATCACCGCCAGTGTGGGCTTGAGAGGGGTTGTTCGACGAAGGGGCTTGGATCTTGACTTTGACCTCACCCTCGACACCGTCAATCCTAACCGTGGTGACCTCACCGGGCTTGGGCTTGCCAGAAGGGCCAGGTTTGGCAGCCGTTGAAGGTCCGGCTCGTGTCGCGCTGGGAGCCTGACCTGATCCAGAGCTTGGGCCGGCGCCGGCCTTGGCCTCCTCGGCCTCCTTCACTTTGACGAGGTTATTGACGAACTGATTTGCCTCAACGCCGCCGTCAAGCAGCCACTTGAGACATAGCTGGACACGCTCGCGCGCAAACCTGTTGTGATCGTCGTAAAGACTCGAGTTCAACAGCGCAGGCATGCCGTTGTACTGAACCACCTTCCTCTGGACCGTCTCGTTACCGGGCGAGGTCTTTCCGGGCGCAGGTTGCAGTAGCGAAGCCAGGAGAGCGAGAACCTGGCACTTGACCTCGGGCCAGGGATACTTGTGAGCAGGCTCCTGTCCGGGCGGCGCGCACGGCGGAGGTGGAGGCGGCGGGGGCGGAAGATGTTCGTCTCCATCCTCGAAAGGGTACGGGGCGCGGGGGAAGCCCGGCACTGCTGTTGGCGGTGGGGGTGATGGGGCGCCGCTGGTGTTGGCGGCAGCCGCGGCGGACTGGGCATCACCGCCATTGTTCCTCGGCGGTGGGGCTGACACCAGCGGCTTCTTCTCGACGGCCCTCTCGAGGTTTCTCAGGAGAGTAACTAGCTCGTATGTGGCGTCCCACTCGATCAGGCGGCTTCGCAGCTCGTGGTCCTCGGCGGCCGTGATAAGGAAGTCAAGGAACTGGGCGAGCCCGTCCTTGGCACGTTCCATATCCCAATTATCGACCGGGAAGTCGGCCTCATATATGACTCCTTCGCGGATGTGTGCTTGTATCACCATCAACGCAAGACACTCGGGCACGATGCGACTGCGGAAATTACTGAAGAGGAAATGCAGCAATTTGACGCGGTTCTCGGCCACGTGCTTCTCGGCGGGCGACTCGTTCGCGATCGGGCCCTTTGGACATGTGCGGTACATGTGATTGATAAGACGCAGCAGCACCGTCTGTGCTGGTGAGGTGATGTCTTTGGGGATGCGCAGAGCTTTCCATGTGTAGGGCAGCAGAGCATTGTGGTGCAGGGCCTCGACGATCTGCATCGTGATCTGGAAGATCAGCGATGCCTCGTCCTTCTCCCAGACAGCGATGAAGACCAGCATCTCGCGCAGCAGGCTCTTGCCGCACTCGAGCGCAATGAACATGCGGCATCTCGTCCGCTGGCGGTTCTCGTAGGGTGCAAGGCTGTTAACCGTGTCAACTATGCATGACTTGACAATCATGTGCAGCGCCTCGATCTGCTTGGGGTCCAGGATGTTGGGGATCTCGGTGAGGAGACCAGTCATTGGCCCGTCACCGTACGACTCGGCATCGTCCACATCATCCTCCTCTTCCTCGTCGTCTTCATCCTCCTCGGCCCCCTCGTTCATGTCCTCGACGTAGCCCTGCACGAGACTGCGCGACCCATGCCTAGGCGCCCCATCGTGTGCGGGGCCTTGAATGCTACCCTCGAATTCGCCGTCGACAATCTCCCCTTCGTACATGTCGCCGTCCTCGTCGTCGAAGTCGCCCTCACGATATGACGTGTAATGCTGGAGGAGGCTGGTCTTACAAGCCTCAGCCCGCTTCTGGGCAAACTCGACCGACGGCATGGGCACCTTCCACTCGCAGTAGTTCTCGTCGCGGGCCTTGGTCCACCACATGTCGATCTCGTGGGACACGCGCCCGTAGGCCTTGTCTTGCTCGAACTTGTCCGTCTCCTTCTCGACCCAGACGGGCTCGGTGGACGGCGGAGGGACGACGGCTCGCGACTTTGTGTCGCCTCCCGGAAGCCAATTCCAAGCCAGTGGTGAGATGGGAGGCAGAGGGCCGGGCGGCCGGTGCCCTTGGGCCTGCACCTCGGCGTACTCCCTAAGCAGTTTTCTGGCCTTGTCACACATGGTAGAGTTCCGCTCAAGCCAGTTGGAGACCTCGGTCTTTGCGACTTCGAGACGGAAGCCCGTCTCGTCGTCATCGGCCGTGGAGTCGTCGTCGAACAGCACGTCAAACCAGAAGGACATCTTGTTGCGGTCGTTCTTGGCCGTCCAGTTGTGGGCCTGCTGCAGCGAGGTGACCATCAGCTTTTTGTAGAGCTCCGTGATCTCGGTCAGCTTCATCTTGCAGACGTCGTCGAGACCCTCGACGTCGTAGCCCTTGCTGGTGACGTTGACGCAGAGGATGATTGTCTGGTAGACCATCTGGTCAAAGTGCACGGCTGCGCAGATGTCCTGGGGCACCTCGGGCTCCGACGTGACCAGCAGGTTGCGGGCAATGTGCATCAGCTTGTTGAGGACCTGCAGGTCCTCCTTGAGCGTGGCGTAGTGCTTGAGGATGAGCGAGGTGCTGTCCCCCGAGTCGACGCCCTTGCCCGGGTCGTTGGACCCGCCGAGCGGCCCGACAGAGCGCTTGCTCAGGTGCGGGACCGCCGAGGCGAAGATCTTGGTGAGGTACATCCAGATGCCCACATTTTTGGACAGAGCCTCGCTGCGAGGCGGAAGCGCGAGCGTCGGCCGCAGAGTTAGCCACACGCCTCGATCGGCCGGTGCTTCTGGAGAAGGCAAGCTAGACCTACCGAACGTCTTTGTAGGTGTGAGTCTTCTCAAGAGTCCTCGATACCATGCTCGTGACCTTGGCGGCCGTGAGAGGGCCCATGGCGGGGGCCTCGGTGTAGTGCCCCTCGAGGCAGATGAGGCAGCCGGAAAAGCATCGCTCCTCGATCGACTCGTCCGAGTGCGAGCTGATCCGGTCAATGGGGGGCACGCTGCTACCCATGGCTAGGGCTGGCATGTCGCGGTTCTGCGACGTGCTGGCTAGATCTTTGCTGGATTGCAAGCTAGCGCGTTCTGAGGCTGCCTGGTTTGTTGAAGCTATCAAAACATGATGTGGGGTTTAGGTATTTTCTGCCACTTGGGTTTAGTGGGGTGCCCATTCAACCTTTTTTCTTTTCTTTTTTCTCCCTTTCTGCGTCATCAACGGCAGCCGCATGCAGAGGCAGACGACTGAACGCCCTGGAAGGCTCCACCTATTGAGTGCCAACCGCTCACTGCGACGGCGCAGAATTGGCGCTGAATCATGAAGATGACCGGAATCCTCGGCCCCTGAGCTGTTATTTCTCTTCTACCCCTTTCCGTCTGTATTTTTTTCGTCTATGTACTTTGTATGCGGCATAATATGTCATGCTGGAACATGCAGTCTTATCTGGTACCTGCAATCATAAGCAAGGTACCAGTGGATGGGTCTCGAAGCACGACATCGCTCATTGTGAAGGCGCCTGATTCATCACCTCGGCATCGATTCTTGCTTCCGCGACCAGTTGGAGACGTACCTAGACATGAAAATACACACACATCACTCCTTTTCTCTCCGTGCCAACGCCTCCCTGCTTGGAATCGTCGGTGTGTGTGTCGTAAGAGCCGAGTATATCCCACCGTGAGCGTGCTTGTCTGCCCACCAGAGACTCGAGAGTGAAGGAAAAAAAAAAAAAAAAAAAAAAGAGAAAGAGGCTCGAGACACGAAATCGCCAACCCCGCCTTCAAGATGTCTGAATCCATCGATGACCTCCTCGCCCGGCTCCCCAATGAGTACACCAAAAGTTGGATCCCCTGGCCCCAGGTGTTTGCTGCGGCGTGATGGCACACAGGGGCGCATATAGACTGACGTGATGGCTACACAACCAATAAAAAAAAAAGAGCCCGTCCGCATCGCCGTCATCGGCGGCACGGGCCTGAGCAAGCTCGACGGCTTCACACCCGTGGCGGCGCTCAACGTCGAGACGCCGTGGGGCGCGCCGTCGTCGCCCATCCAGATCCTCGAGCACGGCGACGTGGCCGTGGCCTTCTTGTCGCGGCACGGCCTGCACCACCAGCTGGCGCCGCACGAGGTGCCCAACCGCGCAAACATGGCGGCCCTCCGCCGCGTCGGCGTGCGCTGCGTCGTGGCCTTCACCGCCGTCGGCAGCCTGCAGGAGGAGATCAAGCCCATGGACTTTGTGCTGCCCGACCAGGCCATCGACCGCACAAAGGGCGTGCGGCCCTTCACCTTTTTCGAGAAGGGCGTGGTCGGCCACGTCGGCTTCGCGGACCCCTTCGACGCCCGTGTCGCCGCCGTCGTGAGGTCGTGCGCCGCCGCCATGTCGGGTGACGGCGTCGTGCTGCACGACAAGGGGACTCTCGTCGTCATGGAGGGCCCGCAGTTCTCCACGCGGGCCGAGAGCCGGCTGTACCGGTCCTGGGGCGGCTCCGTCATCAACATGTCGTCGCTGCCCGAGGCCAAGCTCGCACGCGAGGCCGAGCTCGCCTACCAGCCCATCTGTATGGCCACCGACTACGACTGCTGGCACTCGACCGAAGACGTCGACGTCGCCATGGTGCTCAAGTACATGGCCGCCAACAGCGAGAACGCCAAGCGCCTCGTCGGCGCCGTCCTCGACCGCCTCGCCGAGCCCGAGCACGCCGACCTCGTCTGCGCCAAGCACCTCGAGGGCGCCTCCGCTGGCGCCGTCCGCTTCCTCACCAAGCCCGCCGGCCGCGCCGAGCCCGGCCGGTCCAATGTCGAATACCTCTTCCCCGGCTTCCTCTCCTCCCTGGACAGCTGAGCTCGTCTAGCCACTTGAACACCCGCATTGAACCCCTTTCAACATGGCAGGCAACCCCCCTGCATGTCAGATCACGATGCCCCACCCGTGGCGGATTTAGCTAGGTACTTGGATGTATCTTCGTCCTCATTATAGACGGCAAAATGTGCATTGTGTACCTGGAATGGTATCCTATAGTTTTATGCATAAACAGTGACCGATTCTGTCCCGACCAATGCCTCCGTGCAAACACGCTTCAGCTTCCAACTCCAGACACCAGCAACCGGGGAATCTCAGTAACTACTAAAAGTGACAAATAGGGAGCGGGAGAAAACCGTGACATCCTGTCAGCGTGACTCGCAGCCCAAACGCCCGTCGCACATACAACAACGTTACCATCTACTTAATGCCTCCACGAACGCCCCCCTCGAGTGACCGCCCCTTGCGTTCTGGCTTCGTACCCTCCTGGTATACCTTGACCATTGACAACCCCTTAAAGCAGCTGGTGAAGCGCATGAATTCCTTTCTCAGCCGCCGCAATGTGCCACGGCCTTATGTCGACATCGCGGTCAACCACTCCCCTGGCTCGCGCCAGAGAGCCAAGTCCCCTGAAGTAACTGAGCATCTCCCGCAGGAGAGCCTCATACATGCGCGGGTTGCCTTCGGTGTATATCACATTGAGCTCCATGGCCACGGGCGGGTCCTCGAGCCGGGTGCCGCCCCGTTTGACAAGGTAGCCGCTGACAAGCGCCGGCGTCAGGTCTGTCAGCGACGCGGCGTTGTTGAGCCTGTGCGAAAGTATGGCCCCCCAGGTTGCATCTGTCATATCCACTAGCGTTGTGTCGATGTCCGGGTCGACCGCGCTTGGCTCGGTGCCGGGAGTCGTCGGGTTGGCTGGGCCCGAGGTGGGCCCGGTGCCCAGGGGAGTGGCCGGTCCGTTCACTTGTTCGGGGGACATTACCGACGCCTGGGGAGTCGAGGCCGGAGTCGTGTAGAGGGTGTTCGTTGTGGTCAGCGCTATCCTGGCCGGGGGCGGCACAAGGAGCAAGGATGGATCAGTGTCAACCGTCAGCAGCGTCAGGCTGATCGAGGGCACCTTAGTTTCGCCCTGCTGCAAGGCAACCCACGTGTCCACCTCCTGCTGGTCCATGGGGCCGCACTTCGTGACGATCAACTGCCAATGTACCCTCCACGCCGAGATGAGCTCCTCGGTTGTATCCCAGATCTCCTGTGCCACCTTGGCAAAGGGGGTCGACAGCGGCCTGTCTCTCCTGCCCAGGCAGTACGACGCCGTCATTTGCTTGATGCCACGGTTATCCGTCCACGCCACCGTCATCCACCGCTCGTCGACGCTCTGGGCGTACGCGATGTGGATGCACGAGTTCTCATAGAGCACATTGGTAGATGAGGCGCTGGTAAGCTTGAACTCGATATGTCGTGGCAGTGGCTGCTCAAGTATAATGGCTGGCGCAGGCATCGTGCCATCAAAAAGCGTGCAGCGATCATATGTCTCCAAGCATAGCCTGACATACTCCGATGGTGCTGGTATAGCCAGGCTTGATGCCGACGCCACCATGTCGAGGGGAAGCAGCTGCATCACGAGCTCGTTATTGCTTTGGGCCCGCTTGTCTGACAACAGCTTCTTGTAGAGTTCAAAGAGCCGCTGGAACGCCGCGCAGCAATCGACGATGGACGTCGGATTCGAGGGCGTGTAGACGTAGTAGACCACAAAGTTTTTCTCGGAAGCCGCCGTCGCAGCAAGCGCCTGGCTGAGCTTGCTCATCCGGTCGGCCACAACGGATCCGGGTCGCGCCACAACCGAGCTAGGGGACTCGATGGGCGAGCTGCCACCAACCTCGTACGGAACCAGACCGTCCGACAGACCCCCGACGGTCGGTAGACGCTCAAACGAGCCGAGCTTCAAGGAGTCATAGACGGTCCGTGTGCGGTTCAGAAAGTTGTCCACATGGTCCAGCAGGCCCTCCCACTCTGGGAAAACGCACACGGCGAGCACGTCCTTGGGGCCTTGCGATGGGCCAAGTCCTAGGCTCTCCCAAAAGTCCGTGCAGGACGGCAGCAACGAAAGCCTCGTCTCGTGCCGCCGCAGCTCGAACTGTGGCGGAGGAATCTGGAAAAGATTGGGACGCGTCTGCTCGGGGGCACCGGTCGGCCTGGGCGGCAGTCGGCTGGGTGGTCCAACCAGAGGAATGTCTTGGACGTCCAGCAGAGGCTTGAACCGACACTCCAAGGCACCGGACAGGGAAGGCGGAAGGACTGAGCGAAGAACCCGAAGAGAGTACCTCGCGCAAGTTGAGATTTTCCGACGGGTTTCTCGTGGGTTGGAAAACTCCGAGTCGGCATGCGGCGCCGCAGCTAGCTTCAGCATGCCTAAAGCGGCCTGCTCCGTAAGGATCTGTGCTATCATTATATAGTCATCGTCGCCGTATGACCCAGACAGCCCTGTCGGCTCCGGCTCGGCGAACCATCGAGCAAGAGGGAGCTCGGGCGGCTCGTTGTTGGCGAACCTGGACAGGTCTACCGATACCTGAGGTGATGACGCCCCGGCAGTGTCCAGTTCCCTCAGCGATGTAGCCAGGGATATTGCGTCATCTTCCGGACGTCTCCGGGTGGCAACCGATCGGGTGGGCGATGTTGGCTCTTCACTGGTGTAGCTGGTGTCGTCTTGATCAGAAACGAGACTGACGTCGTCAGCATCAGAGGGCGGATCATCCATCTTGTCAGGGCTTGGTTGCAAAGAGCTCGTCTCGAGGTCCCCCGTGATCTTGGCGAGAAGGGCACCGACGTTTGATGAGGGGAGCTCCTTGAGTTTGTTGCGTCGGTTCCCATGGCGGCGGAGGTAGTCTGTAGTCGGCGGGGACGCCGCATCGTTTGCCCTGTTTTCCTTTTTAACGTCCCAGCGGCACCCGAAGCGTCCGTTTTCCTGGTACTTTTTATTATTTAGCGCCAGATAGGGGTCAAAGTCGACCTTTTCGAAGACGCTGCCACGCCTCGACGGATGCAGATTCCTGTTGGAAAGCGCAGAAGTGCTTTCCAGAGACGCCCGGACCCTCTTGAACACGGTATCGGGGTCGAACGGGCTCGGCTGTCTCTTGACGCCCCCAGAGGGCTGCCTCCGGAGCCGAGTGTCGTCATTCCCGAAACGAGACTCATCCACCAAGCTGCTCCTGGCATGCTTAAGCTCGGGTTTCGCGAAGACGGGCGGCAAGGGGATGACTTGTGGAAGGGCAACGGGCTCGACCGGCTTTTGAGGGTAGGTGCCAAAGGATAGGGAGGTGTTGGAGGGCGCTTCCATGGCAACGCCCATACTGGACAGCCCGGAAAAGTCCATGTCGCCGCCACCAGGCTGCTCGTCGAAGAAGCTGAAATCGGCATCAGTAATATCGTTGTCTCCAAAGATATCTGCGCCCATGTCACCAAGAAATTCCGGGTCCGCGCGCTTGACATCACCCCCCTCCCAGCCATCACCGAAGCCCCCGGCAGGCCCAGCGTCCGCTTGTGTCATGACCACGTCCACGTCTGCGGCGGAGGCGATGAGAGCTACGCCAGGCGCGTTCGCTGGACTTGACACAGTGCCATCCAGATATGAAGTGGCAGCGGCAGGATTCTGGACGCCGTCTGGAGGGGTGGGGTACATTGTTCCTGGCAAGGGCACAGCGTTGGAATTACTCTGCCTCCGCAGCTTTAGCGGCGAGTATCCGTTTGAGGGCTGTGCGCGTGCATCCCCATCAGCCGTCACGCGTGATGCAAGTGCCTCCCTCTCCTTTTGCCTTCGCAACAGGAGACCGTCCCGCTCCTCGGCGCCCATGAGCCAGGCTCTTGCATTGGTAAGGGGGTCCATCGCGGCCACCTCGGCGACACCAAGGGCCTCAGACGACAGGGATGATGGCCGATCACTCCTCGATGTCCTATGAAAACAGAGCACAGAGGGCCAGAACACAGTGCTGGTGCCTGCTGTCGCGCCACCTGGAGTCCTTTTGCCGTCGACTTTGTGCTCGGAAGCTCTCTTGCGCAAAGACTGGATGCTTACCCACGAGGTTCCCGAGAGCACCGAGGGAGACACGCCACGCATCTCCAGTATCTTTATGCAGTCTCTACGCCACCGCGCCATCCTCTCGTCCGTGTCTGGTCGTGGCCGCGTGATCTGGGTATCTGGAGACTGGACTGAGTGCTGATCAAAGCCGGAGGTGGGATCAAACGAGCTTTGAAGCGTTCCATATGCCCCCAGAGGTGCCACAAGCACAGGGATCCTAGCCGGTATTGGGTTGGTCGCCATACGCTCGGCGCAAGACATGATACCATTCATGACGGAGAGCGCCAGGCCGATCACGAGCGAGCCGGTGGTGGTTAGGTAGACGCGAAAAGTGGCAAGGATCGCCCGAGGCTGGTTCGGTCCAACCGTGCCATCATCTAATGGGGACGCTGCGCGGGGCAGCAGGAGTGAGCGGGAATTCAGTGCGATGGCTCCTATTTTGGCACAGAACGCCGCCGACAGGCTGGAAAGAACGGCGGAGACGAAGTACTCGTATACTTCCTTGGCCGGGACACTCGAGGAACCCCTAGGGTCATGTTTTGTCTCGTAATCTGTGGGCCCCGAAGGCCATACGGGAGACGAGCCCGACTGTGCCGGTTGGGTGCTTCGAGCAGGCTGGTCCAGCGCGGAGCCAGTCGAGGAAGAGCTGCTCGGGGTGTTCATTGCGTTTGTGGTCGACGGCCGGGTTTTGAGGAGGCTGATTGGGTCAAAGGTGCCGTCGGTGACCTTGTTTAGCTTGTAACCGCATATCTCCAGTGTTTGTGCGAGATCCGACGGCGCGACCTGAGAAGCATCCTTGCCCACTAGGAAGAAGCACCAGAGCACGCGACGGACGGAGTCGGCATATACAAGGTGACCCTCGCGCCTGAGCGCTCTTTCGACGTCGGATGCGGCGAATGTGTAGATCGATGACGACAAGACCGGCTCGTACACCCTGAAGCTGATGGAAGCAACATCGTTCTACAGCAGGAAGAGCCACGTTAGCTGAGAAGCAAAAAAAGGCCATGGGGGAACGTGGGCACATACAATTAATAGAGAATTGGTATCGTAATCTCCCGGGTCCATCTCGTATGCTTCGATCGTTACATCGGGAACCGGCGCGGGCAGATCAGGCGGCGGCTACAGACGTCAGAAACTAGGTGACGAGCAGAGGTTAAGGGCGAGGGCGCGACGCCGGGGATGAAGAGTCAGCCGCTGCGAGGTGGACGCGGTGGTAGGATGGCAATGGAAGCTGAGCGGTCAAGTCTGAAAGCTCGTTGTTGCCAAACTCCATCATTGGCGGGCCCCAGCCGAACAGGAGCGGAGAGGCGGAGCGCGCCAGGAGGGCGTTCTCCAACGAGCAGGAGAGGCGAGTGTGCGGTCAGAGCTGGGCGCACAGCCAGATCTCGTGCCAGAAAAGCCGTCGATGGAGGCGGCCAGGGATGTAAGAAAGCAAAGGAGCAGCGCCGCTTGCAAGCTCTAAGGCTAATCGGCTAGAGTTATTAAGCAAAGATGGCAGGCTGGGCGAGATGGGATAGTGATGAGAGGTCGGTGGCGGATCCGAACCAACATGCCGGGTTTGGGATCTCGAGGCGGCCTAAGTTCACCACCTCAAGCCGGCGAACGGTAGCAGGCTCGCGCGAACGGCTGAAATGATCAGGGGTTCCGATAGGCTTGGGCGCCCTAGTCCCTTGTCGTGCCCCAATCCAGATCCGCAGCGCGCCCCACATGGCCCTGGTTTTGCGCCGCTGCGCGGGCTCTGCGAGAACCAACGCGACACGACAGACTCCCAAACACGGTCCAACAAGCAAAACAGCTTCATCGTACTATCCTCGATTTAAATCAGGAGCTTGGGGTTTTGCCTCAGCCATAAGACCATTACCTATTAGCCATCTATTTGCTCAGCAATGAACCGGACGCAAAGTTGTGGTTCTTACTTTCAGAGCTTGCTCTTCGCGAAACGTCCAAACTGGACCTCGAGCTGCCCGCGCTCCAGTCGCCGACAAGCGGGGCAGCATGGGGCCTGCCGCCTCGGCGGGCGGGAGACATGTTATCGATAGCGGCGGCGGACTTTTTTTTATTTTTCTTTTTTTCCTGGGCTTTCACAGCGGCGCATCCGCGCATTGGATTGCCGAGACTCAACTCCATCGCCGCCCGCGCATCTGCCTGCCCACCACGTTATTTTTTGCGACACCCCTACAAAACGCACCGTTCAGACCAGCGCATTGGCTCTGAAGGGCCCTCGTCGCCATGAAGCTCGCGAATTCAGGGACGATTCCTGTTTACACAATCTCCGGCGCATCGACATCGCGATCATTGCCCGACTGGCTCAGCCGCAAGAAGAAGCGCTCGTTGAAGAACGACCCAGAGTATGCAAACCGCGTGGAGCTGCTACAGGACTTCGAGTTCGAAGAGGCATCAACATGCGTCCGGGTCAGCGAGGACGGCGACTGGGCCATGAGCACGGGCACCTATAAGCCCCAGATCCATTCACACCATCTCCCAAGTCTATCCATGTCCTATTCCAGACACACCACTTCGCTCAACCAGACGTTCGTCATCCTCAGCTCCGACGTCTCAAAGAGCTTGCACCTACAGAACGATCGGCGGCTTGAGCTTCATACCATGGCAGGGTGTCACTACCATGTCCGGCTTCCCAGGTTTGGTCGGGACCTTGCCTACGACCGCCACTCGACGGAAGCCCTGATCCCCGCGACCGGCCTCGACGGAGAAGGAAAGGCGGAAGTTTTCAGGTTAAACCTGGAGCTTGGGAGGTTCATGAAGTCGTACCAGGTCGACTGTGGCGCCGACGATGGCATCGAGCGGGGTCTCCAGGGCAGCATAGGTGTGGGGAGCGTCAACACGGTCGCCCTGGCGGAAAACACGCACAACCTGTCAGCTTTTGGGACGTCCATTGGCACTGTCGAGTTCTGGGACCCTCGATCAAAGTCACGAATAGCAACGCTGGGCGGCCACGACGGCGAGGTCACGGCCCTGGAGTTCAGCCCCTCGGGCCTCCATCTTGCTACGGGAACCAGCACCGGCATGATTCAACGCTACGACCTGCGTCGCCCTGTGCCGCTCCTGAAGAAGGACCATGGATTCGCACATCCCATAAAGAACTTGATTCATATGACCACCTCTTCTCAGGAGAAAAAGGTTCGTCCCTCCACCAGCCCTACCTCCTCCTGACGGCACATGCCCACCTTGTTAGGCATCAACTAACCCAAACGTGCCATAGATTCTCTCCGCCGATAAACATATGATCAAGATCTGGGACGAATCCAGCGGCGACCCCTGGGCGTCCATCCAGCCAGCGGTGGAAATCAACCATGTTGCGTGGTGCAAAGGAACAGGGATGCTGCTCGCAGCCAACGAGGGGCAGCAGATGCACGCGTGGCTGATCCCCCATCTTGGAAACTCGCCACGGTGGTGCTCTTTCCTGGACAACCTTGTGGAAGAGATGACCGAGGAAGTCCACACAGAGACCTACGACGACTACAAGTTCCTCACACTTCCAGAACTTAAGTCGCTTAGCTTGGCGCATCTTATCGGCAAGACCAACCTGCTCAGGCCGTACATGCACGGATACTTCGTTGCCTCTAAGCTATACGACCAGGCCCGTCTCATCGCCAACCCGTACATGTACGAGGAGGAGCGTATGAAGAGGGTCAAGGAGAAGGTCGAGAAGGAGCGGGCCAGCCGAATCAGGGGCAGCAAGAAGGTCAAGGTCAACCAGAAGTTTGTCGACAAGCTTCTCAAGAAGCAGGAGAAGAGAGAAAAGGTTGATGAGGAAGCAGGCGTGCTCGGAGATGAGCGTTTCACGGGTCTCTTTGAAGATCAAGAGTTTGCTATCGACGAACACAGTCGAGAATTCAGGGCACTCAACCCCAGCACAGTTGTCGCCGCGGCCGGCGATGATGGCGCGAGGGAAGGTAGCTCGGACGACGACGAGGGTGAGAGCGACGACGATGATGGAGGCAAGCCTATTCGCAGCGCAGACCGCGACGGCGTTCAGATGCGGGTTTCATCGTCAGCGCACCGGGGAAAAAAGGCCAACGATACCGCCCTGGGCTCCCGCGTCCCGAAAACGAGAGTCGAGAAGAACCGAGGTGGAAACTCAGTTGGAGAGAAATCGGTCACATTTATGCCGGCCGGGAAGAAGAAGCAGGAGAGAGAGCAAGTGGCTATTCGGCCCAAACCCTCTGGGTCGAGGCGGAGTGCCAGTGCAAACACATTCAGAAAGCTATAATACGCCAGAACCCGCACCCAAGCTTGCCCATTTTATATTACGTAGAAATACACGCCTGACCACCTGCCCGAATCGCTTGCAGGGGCCAAGCCCCAAATCTTCCACCGGCGGAGGCGCAACCCCAAAATCAAACAGTCATCAATTGTCACCAGGAGACCACCGCTGGGAGGGATGCAGCCATCACTTCCTGCTGAAGTTGCTCTTCTTTCCCCTGGGTGGGGAGCTCAGCCTCGGGCCTGATGGCGCGAGGCCCTTCTCGAGGTCCTCAGGCCTCAGGCGTGGTGTCGGCGGCACGTCGTCGAGCCTGAGACGGCCCGACCGTGATTCTTTGGCAGACTTTGGGAACTCGGAGCGCCGTGGGGTCAAGGCCGTCACCACCCTCTTGGCCGACTTTCGAATGGTCTCGCGGACCTTCCATTCTCTCTTCTTTGCGAGGTAGAAGAGTACCGACGAAGCAACTGCCACGCAAGTCAGCCTACACATGCACATGAGCCTGCCCAACTCGTGAAGGGCAGAATAGTGCCGACATCTAGGGTCAGGATCTCTTACTGCCGAAAACTGCGACGACGGAGACGATGACGATGATGGCGATCATCCCGCCCTGCGTGATCTCCAAGGCCCCCTTGGCACTGCCAGAGGCTCCGGCGGCATCGCCTCCGAGGGTGTCGTCGGGTATCGAAGTCTCTGTCGCGAGAGGGAATGCGTGGCTAGAGGTCGTCGACATGGTGGGCGGGGCGTGGTCGAAACTACTTGGTAGTGTTGTTGGGGTGAGACTGTCGAGTGGAATGCTCTTGATGTAGTGAGACAGAGGCAGCGAGGTATCCGTGAAGCCGCTTCAAGCGGTCAAGTAGCACAAAAGCACAAGCTGCCCCAGGTCAAGAGGCAGACAAGGAAGGGGAAAAAAAGGGCAACGGCCGCTGGGGGGAGACAATGTGAAGCGCCGAGGCACATCGTATTTACATACTCAGGACAATACAGGAACTTAGACGCACACCAGCAGCGGTCGGGCTTCCTGGCCAACCCCAAAGCCGGAAGCCCCAAGTACATGCACCCACATCCCCAATGGATACTGACAGGACCGGCCACGCCGCACCTCTATCACGGCACACCTGCGCGAAGCCCAGCCGGCACTCGAGAAAGGATACAGTGCTATTGCAGGGCCCCACGTCCTATTGCTCCGCCGTGATGCCTCTCCCTGCGGGTTGCTGCGCCGCCATTGGGCGCTGCCTTGCCGGTAGTGAAACCGAAGAGTGTTGATACAGTTACCGCCAGCCTCCCATTGGCTCCTTGGGGGACAATGCAAGCGCTGAGCTTACCCTTTACCCCTGGCGCGCTGGGGGGGTGACTGCACAAGGGGATCGACGGGCGTGGGTGGGGCGGCCAATCAGCGGGCTGGAGACCGAGGTCGAGGGCGGCATCACACTGGAAACGCACCTCGACCCGCCGACGACCACTGGGAGCGACCGGCTTGCCGCAGCCACGGTGCCCAGGGGTGCCGTGGCCTGCAGGAAGGCATCTTTTTCGCCTACGCTTTTTTTTTCTGCATGTGTGCGTGTGTGACTGACACTTGGGACAGCTGGGATTCTTTTGCGTGGCCTCCACTGCGAGGTTCCCCCGCAGAGGTGAGCAGCGAGGGTGTTATTAATCTCTCATCTCGTCACGTCACATCACTCACATCACGCCGCAAATCCATGTGCGCTTTGGTGATGTAGATGTATTGTCCCTATCGAGCCTTTTTTGGGATGATAACCAGCGTCGGCCTCTAGTATTGGATGCGACCACGGCAGAGATTGCAGGCCTCGCTGGACCGCACATTGCCAGGTGCCAGGCCGGATGAATCTCTCTAAGCAGTTTGCACCATTTCCAACTCCCGAACGACTGGCGCTATTCTTGGGCAGCTACGGAAAAAGGGCGCGACGGGGTCCAGTGATATTTGCGGGCGCCTCACAAAACGGCCTCGCAAGGAGCGCACCAGGCAGATGGGATGGAATGCGCCTCGAGAGGATCTGCCTGCGATCCTATACAGCATGCAAACGCATCTTGGTCCCTGGTGTTGGTTTCAGGCCGCCTAGTTTGGGCCTGGTTTACATACGTGTTTTTGCATCTGCGTGTATAACATGAACCGTGCCTAGCTCGTGGCGCCCTATTGAGCCACTTGGTTTCACGCCGTGGCGTCTCAGGGGCGCATTCATGTTGGATAGGTCTATTTTAGGGCTTTGAGTTTGCGGAGGGGCCCATGGATGCCCGCCACCAGCAGGCCACTTGGCGTGGCTGCCTGCAGATGCGACGTGCGTTCACGTCAGTGGGCTCTCAACCCCCACGGCGGGCTCAGGGGAATATTTTAAGTAACACCAACGACATCGGATCGAGTCTCTTCCGATGAGCCAAGATATTGCACTTAGATGTGTGCGACTATGGCTTTTTTTGGCCGCAGAATCCTTCTCACGCGCCTCTCTCTGCTCCGTAGCCCTACCGGTCTTTTCTTGCTTGTCAGAAGCAGTATGCATGTCCTTTCGCTTTATTTTTATAATATTGTTTTCGTTTGTGTATACCTCCACTATGGGAGTTGACGTTATCGCGGTGATGTTAACCAGTTGCTTCACATGGGCTAACCCTTTCTTTGCTTGGCCGGTTCAGTACATACCAAATCCTTCCCAAAGAAAGATCCAATCATAGGCGACATTACGAAGCTCGCTGCTTGAAAATGTTGACAGCACGAGACTTGCCCTATAGTTCTTTGTCTGCTTCAGAAATTCGTAAGGTAGCTTATCCTTGAACCGCCACACCCAAGTGCCGATAGCAGTATCTGGGCTCGGCGACTGACACAGTCCGAGGGGCACTTATAAGTCTTGATTCACAGTTAGAAGAGTGTAGGCGCGCGCTGGGGGCAAAGCATCGACCCATACCCTCTTTTGATACAATAAATTCTCGCCGGACAACGGTCGCCAGGCTGGTATATGGCGTCCCGCTTGGAGTCTGCAGATGTGTGGATAGATGCTCGTTTTCTGCAAAAGCTATGGTGTAAGGGAGGTCTAATTTGTCGGCTGTTTCGACCCGACCGCCTCGGGCCATTACAGAAATCCATGCAGGCAGCTATCTTTAGTACAAGCCCCCATGGGTAACTGGCCTGCCCATCGACGGAGAAATCCCACTTGAGAATATAAATAGTACCACACAGACAGTTTCATCCCAAGCTATTTAATTAAGCCCGCCCCGAGGACTACAGGGCTTCCAAGCATCTACGAAGACCAGGCAGTCCAATCTAATCTGAACTCCTCCCTCTTTTAGGAGCAAACCAGTGATGGCAGCGGCGTCGTATATGGAGCGCCCACAATACACTCCAGGTCTACATCTCGCGGTCTTTTTCGGGCCGTGGCATTAATGACACCATGGGGTGGTGCTATGATATCTTTACGAGGCAGCGTAAAGCAAGGGGGCCACCCCGCCGACCAAAGGCAGAGGTGCCCTCCCTCTAAGTTCGGATGACTCTGGTGCTCTCAGCCTTAGGACAGTGTGCGGCTCGTCAAAGGCTGCGGTCTCTACCTGGTAGTGTCTCCTCTAGGAGGGGGAGGTCTCGGGTTTGAGTCTGGGTAGGGCGGCTCCCTGGTAGGGAGGTTCGCCATCTACCGAGCCTCGGGCTCGGAACCTTCTTGATTTTGTTGCCCACGCTCTTACCCCTTTGCTAAGTGATACCTAGGTGGTATGCAAAAGTGAAGGCGCACACTACCTCTGGATTTCATCGGTGACCTTCATTATAGAGCGAGGCCATTCAAGGGAAGGAGGGAGGGAGTCGTCGAGCTGTGGTCAATCCATTTATCGGTAATGCCTTCCTCCTTCAGCTGGGATTCTGCAGGAGAGCTGGTAGACGCGGGCAAATCGGGCAGTGAGCACCTTCCGTATCACATCATGCCCCCGAGGAAGGAACGCCGACCGCTGCCATGGGACGTCATGTGATTCATAGCGCCACTATTTCCATCCTGTGTCTGTCCCACTGCAATCGAAGAAGAGCTACATCCTGCCCGCTATCCGCTATTTACAGCGAATGTTGATTCTTCTTTTTCTTCCCTCAGACCTGGCTCTTGCTCCCACAACTAGCCTCGCCCAGTCCGCTGAACGGCAAGCCTCGCTCTCGCTCTCGACGCTCCATGTTAAGCCTTGCCAACGGCGGCGGGTTTCCTGCCGATACCGGAGACCCTCTAACAGAACCGGCGCATCCAAGCCATTACGCTGATCTCAATGACTTCCAGAAAGAGATCGCCAAGGGCTTCGTCTGGTCGCCGAGAGGCGCAGCCTTGCCACCACAGATGTCACGGCGGGCCCAGGCACCTTCTTTAGTACCGAGAACTCTCGTGGACCATAGCGCCGATATGGCAAAGCGATTCCAGGGCACATATCCAGGAGCTAGTCCGAAGGCCTCCACCCCTCTGAAGCCTTCGCTCCACATTCCAATGCCTGAACAGCCTTCGGCACCCAACGCCAACATCAAACCGAGTCCAAAGCGTCCACAGAATCTCGTCTCCGAGCCTATGGGACCACCACCAGGCTTTATGACCAAGACGCCTCCAGCGCGTACGAGACGTTCCGCCGCAAACTCCCACGCCAAGGCAGTACCGAATTCAAGTCCTCACAGCCCCCGAGACATCATCCAGGGTTCTCCTTTGCAGAGCCAGCAGTTTTGCAACAACACCCAGCTGCCGTATACCGAGGAGCTCAGAAGCGCTGATGAGAGCTTCCGTGAGCCCCAGCGCGTACTTTCGGCCGTGCCGGGGCCCGAAACAAACAGACTCGCGGCTTCAGTCCGGCACCACAACCAAGAACACTCAGCTCGTCAGTCACCCGCACAGACTCCGACTCTACACGTTAGTCCAGTGCCACCACCGGGTCTCATGGGCAGTCCGGCCGCCCTGTCCGTCGCCTCGTCCGGGATGAGGCATCACCAGAGGTTGAGCGAAAAGTACCAGAATCACAAGGGTGATTCCAAAGTATGGCGCAAACGCTGTGAAGCATTGGAGCATGAGAAGCAAGGCCTCCAAACAAAGCTGGACTCGCAGGCATCTCGCATCGATACGCTGGAAGGCGAGAAACATCACCTTCAAACAGAGCTCAACTCGCAGGCATCTCGAATCGATACGTTTGAAACCCAAGGCTCCGCTTGGGAGGAGAAAGTCGAGAGACTCGAGTCCGACAATGGCAGACTCCGCAAGAGACTGCATGATTACCGAGAATACTTGAACGTGGCGGTCCAGGAACACCAGAGCCTTTACAGGCTTACACAGCATCGCTGCGAAGAAGCGGTGGTCGACATGCGCGAGAATGGCAAGAACACCAAAGTAACGACCGAAGAGGCGTGCAAGAAAGCTGAGGGAGTGCAGACGCGACTGATGAATACAGTCAGATCTGTCAGCGATCAAGCCAAGGCTGAGGTCCTTGCGAGTAAGTTTCTCGGTCTTTTCGCCGCACCCCAGAGCCATTTCCTATCATCCCCTGACTGTCGTTGCAACCAGAGGATATCATCATCGAGCAATTCAGAGAGCAGCTTCAGGGGAGGGAGGCGGACCTCGAGCGCGAGCGAGAGCGCGGGCAGGACTCCCAACGGATTGAAGAGCTCGCGGACTCGATACAACGAGATTTCAATATACAAGTCTCCAGCCTGATGAGCAAGCTAGAGCCGCAAATGGCCGGTTTCGTCAGGGATGTTCAGCAGCGCAACAGTGAAGACATTTCTAGGTATGTAATGCCCCTAGAGGCTCCATCACAATGCCCAAGTTCAGAATCTGACGAGGTCATTTAGACTCGAGGCTATACTCCTGGATGTGAGCAGCAGGCGCTCGCTCGATGTCTCTGAGGCAGATAGCTTGTCTGATCTGGTGCAACTGGCCCAAAAGTCATTACCAGTGTAGGTTGGAACGGCTCCGTGCCACTCCGTAGTTATTGGCGGTTATAGGAACTGACACTTGGAACAGCATCGATAAAAAGCTGAATGCACTATCCTGTGCTCGCGCGAATGGTCAAAAAGACAACACAGAATTGGCTAAGAGCATCCAGGTGCAGCTCGAAGGAATCCGAGAGCGTCTCGCCAAGAGAGATTTGCTCGCCATCGAACTCACGGAGGAAAAACGTGCCAGTGCAGCACTTATTACCGCTGCCGAGCAAAGAGACGCCGAATGCCGAAATCTGCGCAAACGAATCGAAGGAATGAATACACAACTGGCTGAGAACAAGAAAGATATCGCTGGCCTTTCTGAGGAGCTAGCTCGGCTCCGCCCGCTGCAGCAGCAGTCCGAGGAGCACAAGGCAGATATCGCGGCACTTACTGATGAATTGGATCGGCTACACCCCCTGCAGCAACTATCTGAAGACCAGAAGAAAAAAATATCGGCGCTGTCCGCCAAGGTAGATCTCCTGCACGGGACAGAGAGGGAAGCAGAGAGTCTGCGAGCGGATATCGAGGAGAGGTCCAACGCAATAGCTGAGCTTGAACGAGCAGTCAAGGCTCGGGATGAGGTAGCATCCGATACAGCCAGGAGATATAAAGAGAAGGACGAGCTGGCACAGAGGCGTCTCGGAGACCTCGAAGATGCCATATCGAGAGAGCGCTTGAATACACAGACGGCAGTCCGCGCTGCCGAAGACGCAAGAAAAGAGCTCGCCGAAACACGTTTGGCGCTTGAGAAAAGGCTATCCGAAGCCAACGAGAGTCGCCGTCACACCGAGGAGATGTCCCAGAAGGAGGTCGCTGCTGTCGCTACCGTCAAGGCTGAGATGTCTGACTTGCAGTCTCAAACTTGTACGCAACTGAGTGAAGCTCAAGCGGCATTAGCCTCGCGAGAGTGCGAGATTGCGACCTCGAGGTTGCAGGTCGAGGAGCTTCAGGGAAAAGAAGTAAAGAATTCCGAAGAACTGCAACGTGCCCAAGATCTCGCTCAGAAGCTGGGATCGGAAGTTTCGATGCTCAAGGGCAAGCATCAACGTGCATCCCACACCATCGCTTCGCTCGAGGCAAAGATTCTCGAGGTCGATCGACAAATGGACGCAGAAGTCAGGTCGCCGCGCTCAACAGGCAATTCGTCGGACTTGCAGGTGCTTACCAACTGGCAACAGTGGGCATCCGCCCTCACGGGGAGCCTGAAGCAATGGGTGCTGCGCAGCCGGAAGGCGAAGCGCATCTACCGCAAGCTTCAAGACACGCCGGATTTCAAGCTCGATCTTGGGGGCGACGAGGAGCTAGAAGCTGCCAAGGATGCCACCAGCGTATTCCTTGCGATATACGAGTACCTGAAGCAGCAGGCCGGGGTCGAACACGACAAGGCAAATGGACCTGAGATCTCGGGGCTTGTCGAGGTCCTCGGCGCTGCTGAGGTCAGGCATGTCAAGTTGAGAAGTCCTTTGGTGGAGGAGACACCGACAAGCACGCCACTACCTGTTTCTGCCGAGCAGGCCAGGCGACGACAGATGTCACAGCCAAAGCCCATTCTGAAACAGCGCGACAACACCCCATCAGATTTGCAGCCAGACTCGCTGCCATATTCGCAGCCTCCGGCCACGAGAAAGCGGACTCGGTCGCAGACCCAAGCCGCAGAGTCGCCTATCGTGCTTCCTTTCGAACGCGTGACACGGCAGAAACGGGCACTGAGCCCGCAGCAATAGCAACCACCCGGTGGCAAAGTTGCCCTGTGACGGGCAAAACAGCCTCCACTTACTTCCATGCAACGTTCGTCGCTATATTTTCGAAGCTTTGTCCGAGAATTTGCTAGAATACCCTAGACCCGATTGCTTCGATTTGTTTGCTAGGTGTGTCGGGTACCTTTGCAGAGGGGCGCGAGATTTGTTTCTAGAGCTTTAGGGATCTGTTATACACTCTAATAATGACATGCCTGATGTACATCAAGACGCTAACGACCCGGAAAACCGACCCATTCTGCAGCAACAGAGTGCGGGTTGCGCATCCACCTCGGTCCATGCCCATTGTGGCCTTTCCGGCAGCACTGGAGGATGGATGGATATCTAGGAGGAGTTGCAGAGAGCCATCGGTGTGATACACCTATGGAAGTATGGTATCATGTTCGTGACGCCACGAGAGTCCCATAAATGGGAACGACGAGGAGCATAGGCAGCTCGCCAGCTCGTAGATGGTGTTGCATTGGCATCCATGATTTATTTGCCTTTGCGTTTTTGCTCGAGGAACAGGACCTTTCTCCTAACTATTTGTCGAGCACAAAGGGTCAGCAGCGGTCCCGCGACGGAGGCGACCAGTCCATCCCCAAGCCCGCCTGATGCGCCGCTGGTGAGGAGAGGAGAGCAGGGGGAAGACGGCGCCTCGTCAGATCCGGGAGCGGGTCGAAGGGCCGTCATCCGTACCTATAGGATCGTATTTGAGCATGCTCATAGGCGTCGACGTCCGGGGCCTCGCCATTGTGTAGAAGAAGCCCGTCATGGCCATGGAGAGCAGGCGCACCGAGATGATGCGAGACTTTGCTGTACGGAGAGTGGAGGGACTCGTGGGTTAGCTCAATTGGCAAGTTTGAAGCTTTCGCCGGCTTCCTTGCTTCTTTGATGTTTCTCCCGGGGTCTGCGTACCCTTCTTAGCCATGGCAGCTGTTGTGCGCGGCGCATGCGTTTCGAGGTGTTATGCCGTGGTCTTGCGCGTCGACAAGGCTGCTGCTTCGTCTGGGCCAAATCTCTGTGCAGAGGCGCGGGACTTGCCGGGGTCCTGGTGGAGCCTTGGCTGGTCTTTGGCGGGGTGTGTCTGGCAGGCAATTGAGCTGAATCCCACTCCGTGCCGCCGACCTCGCAGCCGATAAGGAATAGTGCTGTCGGGAGGGATGGAGTGAGCGTGTGTAGGCTAAAATGGATTTTGACGGGCATAACAGAAACGGGTTTCTTGAGGGAATATCCCAATAGACAGACAACCATCTTTTATTTGTGCAACCATTGTGATGCTTCCGGTACCAGTACCTGTCCTCCTCCTCTCATTCTGTTCGCTCCCGTCTACTTTAGTTTCCTCCTAGAGCAGTCTCCGACACAGCGCCGGCGACACCAAGGCCAAGACAAGCACACAATCACACCTTGCTCGATCCACCGCTGCTTGTCGCGACGACGGCCGTTGGCCAGCAGCGAACCACAATGGCGGCCGTCGCAAGAAGCCCCCGCGCCGGCTTGGGCCAAGCTCGGTGGTGGGCTGGAACATGCACAGTGTTTTCTCTGCACCATGGCAGTTTAGGTAAACAATCAATCATTAGTTCCCGTCGTCGTCCTTTGGCCCGACTCAAACACCAACCCAAGCAAGCACCTGCAACCCGCACCTGAATTTTTACAAACCCCATTCATTCCCTATGGCCGGCGCACGGCATCACATTGGGAAAGTCCAAGAGCTTGTGTGGCGGCCACCATCCATCCCCTGGACGAATGTCACTCCACAAATGCACGCACACCACGCCGTCCATATTCTCCCCTTTTGCCCGCCTGCATCAGTCATTCCATCGCTCCCGGTTTCGGCCGTCATCCACGGGGGGTTCAGATAGAGACCTGCCGGATGCCCACCGCTAGGCAGTTTCGTAATGAACACATCATTTTCTTTTGGCATTACCATTCTACTATACCACAATCACCAGAGACGGATAGCAGCACATGCTGGCTGGCCCCTTCGCTCGGATTAGCCCAACTTGTCTCTGTCTGAGTCAACAGCTGGACGGTCCCCAGGTTGCGTTGCCTCATGGTCTCCTTTCCCCAGACTGCCCAGAGGGGGATGATGAACTGCAGGCGAAGTTTGCTTGCCTGACCACATCCGTCAGGAAACACGATGTGATGACCACATCGCCTGTCAAGCGTTCCCTAACTAGGATTGGACGATTGGCAAGTATACATGTGCCGATTTCCGTTTCTCCTCCGTCGTCCATTTGCCTGCCTGTCCTGCACCACCGCCCCCGGCTGTCTGTAGCCTGCCTGCCTTCCTACGTGTGCCGTCCCGTGTCGAGCCGATATGTCTTGTTTGTTTTCCTTCGCTTCTTCTGCATAGTCATTGGACCCCTATGGACCCCTATGGACCCTCCCACCGGGTGCCCAGGGGTGAACCGTTGGCTACGATTCACGGACTGTCTCGGGGTTCCTTTCTGTTAATTTTTTTCACCGCTCCAGTTGGCTGGTGGCGCCCCGGAGAAGCTCGAGGGCTTAACACAAATGCCACCCATGGTAGTAATTGCCTCATCAGTGGTTCTGTTAGAAAAAGCTTTCGTTGGACCACTTTTTTGCCTTGCTATATCGCCTTCTTCTGCCCCATCACTCCTCTTTCTTTCTAGATAACACAAGGTGTGACGTGCCATCGTCCAACACGAGTTCCATAATACGGGTTCCAGTCTTCTAAACAAGAAACATATTTGGCAGCAGCTTCGCCCTGTACCCCACCACCCGCCATCACTGCCGTCACAGCGGCCACCCCACCAAACCAACGCCGCAACTTTGCTTCCCTCTGCCAGGCTCAAACTCCCGTGCGCTTTGGATATCGACGCCAGCAGCTTGGGACAAGCCCCCCGTCCAGAACAATGTCGTCCACTTCGACCCGCAGGCTAAATTATGACAACATCAACCCCCACATCAAGGACGCCAAATACGCCGTGAGGGGCGAGCTCGCCGTCAAGAGCGAGGAGTACCGCGCCAAAATCGCCAAGGGCGAGAACGGCCTGCCCTTCAAGGAGGTCATCTCGGCCAACATCGGCAACCCCCAGCAGCTGGACCAGAAGCCCATCACCTTCTTCCGCCAGGTCCTGAGCCTGCTGGAGAACCCGGCCCTGCTCGACCACGAGGACGTGCTCATCAACAGCCTGGGCTACAAGTCCGATGTCGTCGCCCGTGCCAAATGGCTGCTGAGCAAGGTTGGCTCCGTCGGCGCCTACAGCGCCAGCAACGGCGTCCCGGCCATCCGCCAGAGCATTGCCGACTTCCTTGAGAGTAAGTCTTGAGACGAGGTCTTGCTCTCCATCTTCTTCTTTCTCCCTCTGCCGCACGACAGGCAGGCCGTTGACACGCGGAACTCAGGGCGTGATGGCTTCCCGGCCAACGAGGCAGACATCTACCTCTCGGCTGGCGCTTCTTCGGGCGTGAACACACTCCTGCACATCCTCACCGAGAACGAGAACACTGGCATCCTCGTGCCCATCCCGCAGTACCCCCTCTACACGGCCTCGCTGTCGGTTCTCAACGCCAAGTGCGTGCCCTACTACCTGGACGAGTCCAAGGAGTGGGGCACCACCATCAGCACCGTCAAGGCGGCCCACGACGAGGCCAAGGCCAAGGGCGTCGACGTGCGCGCCATCGTCATCATCAACCCCGGCAACCCCACGGGCGCCTCGCTGTCCGAGGAGGACGTGCGCGGCGTGATCCAGTTCGCCGCCGCCGAGAGGCTGGTCATCATGGCGGACGAGGTCTACCAGACCAACGTCTTCGTGGGCAAGTTCCACTCGTTCAAGCGGGTTCTGCGGCAGCTGCAGAAGGAGGAGCCCGGCAAGTACAACTCGGTCGAGCTGGTGTCGCTGCACTCGGTGTCCAAGGGCATGGTGGGCGAGTGCGGCCACCGCGGCGGCTACTTTGAGCTCGTCGGCTTCGATGCCAAGGTGCAGGCCGAGATCTACAAGTTCGTCTCCATCACCCTGTGCGCCCCCGTCATCGGCCAGTGCCTGGTCGAGCTCATGGTCAACCCGCCCAAGGAGGGGGAGCCAAGCCACGAGCTCTACAAGGCCGAGTACGACGGCATCTTCGAAGGGCTCAGACAGCGCGCAAACGCGCTGCACAAGGCCTTTGCCCGCATGGAGGGCGTCGAGTGCGGCACCCCGCAGGGCAGCATGTACCTCTTCCCCACCATTCACGTCCCCCCAAAGGCGGCCGAGGCGGCCAAGAAGGAGGGCCGCACCCCGGACGAGTTCTACTGCATGCGCCTGCTCGAGGCCACGGGCGTCTGCGTCGTCCCCGGCTCCGGCTTCGGCCAGAAGCCCGACACCCTGCACCTGCGCACCACCTTCCTCGCCCCCGGCACCGAGTGGGTCGACGGCATCGTCAAGTTCCACAACGAGTTTATGGATAAGTACAGATGATGGTTGGGCGGCTGAGCCGGTCTTTTGTGCCTGCCTTTTGTTTCATTGCTTGATTTTGGGGCTGAGAGTAGGTCAGTAGACGGATGATGGGGTGTTTTTGGTCGGGACACTGGGCGTTTTTCATATAGGTACACATAAAATACAATCTTGGGTTATCATGAGAAACAAGGACCGAGGCAGTAGTTGTAATTTCTCACCAAATCTAGTAAAGTGAGCAACGTCCTCATGGCATTATCACAAAATTCGTGTCCACCTAGACCCTCTCAGCCATCCACTTGTGCCACTTGCTCGATGTATCGTTTGCTAGGTCATCCCGCAAGGGTTTAACCCCGGATATACGACAAAGACGGATAACACCAAGCATGCCACATCGCCCTCCTCAAAGCTTGTGGCCTCGGGTTTACTTGTCTGGCCAGCATGATGGATTAGGATCCGAGAAATTTTACGCCTTTTTTGTTCGTGTTGCCTATCACGACAAACACCCCCAATGGAGTCGCCATCAAAGGAGCAAGTCTGTGGACAGACAGTTATATATCTTCACGATACCTGTTCTAGCCAGCAAACCCTCACGCCCTCTCGCTTCCTCTCAACCTCACGGCCTGGCCGTACTTCTGCAGCTTGGTGATGAGCTGGTCACCCTGCCGCACAACGTCCTGGTACTGCTTGTTCTTGTCGTCTGGGCGGTTGGTTTCGATTATGCCCTTGCCCGTCACCCTGTCGATCGTGCACGGGATCCGGCCAGCGGCGATGAACTTGGCAAGGTCGCTGCGAGAGGTAGAAAGCGTCAGAGACGAGAACAAAAACAGGGGGGAGACCAGCGGAGAACAGTGAGATAGTACACACCGGTCCAGGAACTCAACAGTGACGCCAAAGTCGTTGGCCATGCTCTCAAGGCCGACGACGCGGTAGCTCTGCAGCAGCTGCTGGTAGGCCCGCAGGCGCATCTCGCGAACGAACCAGTTCTTGTGCTCGTGCAGGTAGCGGTCCTGGGTGAGGAACTGCTCCTCGACCAGGGCCAGGGCCTGGAAGAACATCTTGTAGTTGCCCGTGTACAGGCTGCTGACGAGCTGGGCCAGCGGCGAGAAGTCAACAGCGGTCTCGGCGTCGGGCTGCTCAGATCCAGACTGGCCCAGGGTCGTCAGGTTGACGACGGCCGCCTTGCTCGGGGCCGCAGCACCCTCGGCCAAGGCCGACGAGTCACCCATCTCGGCATCGGCGCCCGGCCCAGCAGACAGGGCACCCGTCAGTGCCAACAGCTTATCCTCGCCGTCTCCAAGGATGGCCTTGATTTCGGGAGCATCGACGACCTTGGACTTAAAGTCAACGCGCTTAAGGCTGACGGAGCCGGCAAGAACCGAGTAGACAACCAAGTTGCTGTAGGTGCACAGCTCGTATGATGTAAAGGTCGACAAACTATCGAGCAGCAGCGGCGCACCAAGGTTATACGAGCGCAAGGTCAGCAGGTGCAGCCCCTCGTAGGCCTTGAGCCGGTTGCGCCGGTCCCAGTCGCCGCCCGACTCGACCAGCGTCTTGGCCCTCTCGACCTGCTTCTTGACCAGCTGCTTGTCGCCGTAGAAGAGCCCCATGCGGATTATGGCCAGCACAAGGTCGATCTTGGTGCCCAGAACTCCGGTGTTCTCGAACACAAGCTCGTAAGCGGCGATGGCTTTCTCCTAGAGTCGGGTTGAAACTGCGTGTAAGCGTTGATCCATGGCGGCGGTGTGTTTCGGGAATAGATAATTTCAAGGGAAGTCACTGGCAGACTGCGCCATCCATACCTTGTCACCAACCCTGGCCCAGAAATCAGCCCTCTTGCCCCTCGCAGCCTGGATCTCAGTCTCGCCGGCCTTCTCGACGGCCTCGTCCTCCTCCTTCTGGAAGCCCTCCAGCTCGGCGTCGTTGTCCTGTTTGAGCTTCTGGTAGAGACCCTCGTCCCAGGGTAGGGTCATGCTCCCCGCAGCGGCACGGCTGGTAGAGATCATGCCCACGCCGCTCGACTTCCGGCTCAGCGGCTTGCCGGGGCCGCTGGCGCCACCCTCGCCGGCGACATTAAGGATGCCCTCGATGGGGTGGGCCAGGTGTCTGTAGAGCGGGGCCATCTTGTGCTCGGCGATGGCGTCCTGGAGGCTCTTGGCCGCGGCCTGCTGGCCGGCCTGGCCAGCGTACGAGTTGGTGAGGGCGAAGACATGCTGCGCGAGCGGCAGCAGTGGCCATTTTGCGTACTGCGGATCGGACCCCATCTTTGCTGCGTCGGAGTGGGCGCAGGGAAACAGTGGTGGCCGAGAGGTGAGTTTGTCGTGGTTCTGCTCCCTCTTGTGACGGAACGAGGGAGTCCAATGGGTGGCAGAAGGCTGGAGCTTGGATTGGCCCTGCCCATGTCGATGGCGCACCTCCAGGCGGGCCCACCGCAAACAGGCGGCAAAAGGCTCGCGCGTCAACGCCCAACGAACACTCAGCGGCCAGCGATTCAGAAGCTCGGTGCCTTATGTAATCGAGCTGACTCTTTGACCTGCTCTAATTGCTTCGGGTCAAGTTAGAGCTCTCACTGTCTTCAGTCGATGGGCAGGCAAGGGCGAAACGTGAAAGCGACAACCGAAAACAGCGACAAAGAAAGAAATCTACCTCATTTAACCGCCCTCGATCTCTCAAAATAATACATATTTGTGTCCCAGCGACCATCCGTCTTCTCACGAGATCCAACCCACCGTCTGCCCACTTGATCTCTTCACTTAGCAATCTAGACCTGTCGAAAATGGCAGGCGGAGACGGCGGAGAAGGCCGCTCCCGACGCGACTCCAACGAGTTTGACGGCGCCAGCAAGCGCAAACGCCCAGCTTCGCCGTCCAGGAATAACGACGAGCTGCCGGTGCCCTACGATGCCAAATCCCTAGAGCCAGCCAAAAAGCGACACCGGTCCAACTCGCCTGCCGGCGATGCATCGGCTGCGCGCAAGCCGAAGCGACCGGGCCAGCGCGCTCGCATCACCGATGCCGAGCGCGAGGCGATCCGCCAGCGCGCCCTCGACCGAGAGCGCGCCGCCCAGGAACAGGCCGCCGCCGAGGAGCAGCGCAATCGCATCAACGACGTCGTCCGCTCGCACTACAATGCCGTCCCCGAGCGCGGCCGGGAGTGGCGTAAGACCGACAGCCGCATCAAGGGCCTCCGCTCCTTCAACAATTGGATCAAGAGCTGCATCATCCAGAAGTTCTCCCCCGACGAGGACTTCCAGCCCGGCGGTGGCGGCGGCAACAGCCTGCTAGTCCTCGACATCGGCTGCGGAAAGGGCGGCGACCTGGGGAAGTGGCAGCAGGCCCCGCAGCCCGTCGAGCTGTACGTGGGACTGGACCCTGCCGACGTCAGTATTGAGCAGGCCAGGGACCGGTATCACGAAATGTCCAGCCGGGGAGGCCGGGGAGGTAGAGGCGGACGCGGTGGACATAGGAGGCCATCTCCGCGAATCTTTGACGCTCGGTTCCACGTCAAGGACTGTTTTGGCGAGAGCATCGGCGACATCGAGGTCGTACGCCAGGTCGGCTACGATGCATCGGGCCACAACCGCGAGCGGGGCTTTGACATCGTCAGCATGATGTTCTGCATGCACTACGCGTTTGAGAACGAGCAAAAGGCTCGCAACATGTTGAAGAACGTAGCGAGCTCGCTGAAGAAGGGCGGCCGCTTCCTCGGCTGCATTCCCAACTCAGACGTCATCACCAAGAAAGTGTGCGAGCACAACGAGCGCCTCAAGAAAAAGGCCGATGCCAAGGCCTCTGGCGAGGAAGATTCGGCCAAAGCCGCCGCCGAGGCCGACGAGGCCGAGGATGGTGAGCTCGAGGAGGGCGAGCCGGCCGGGTTCGCCGAGTGGGGCAACGACATCTACCGGGTTAGGTTCCCCGGGAAGACGCCCGAGGACGGCATCTTCCGACCGCCCTTTGGGTGGAAATACAACTTCTTCCTGCACGAGGCCGTCGAGGAGGTGCCCGAGTACGTGGTTCCCTGGGAGGCGTTCCGTGCCCTAGCCGAGGACTACAACCTAGAGCTGCAGTATCACAAGTGTTTCCGGGACATATGGGAGGCCGAGAAGGACGATCGCACCCTGGGGCCGCTCAGCGAGCGGATGGGAGTGAGGAGCAGGCAAAACGGCGAGCTGCTTGTCACCGAGGAGGAGTTGGAGGCTGCCAACTTCTACGTCGGTTTCTGCTTCTACAAGGTCTAGCTTTGCGGGGCCCACACGGAGGACGAAGGCCTTACTGTGATTGTTTCTTGATTCCCTTCACACGCGCACCGTCGTCTGTAGAATCGGCCCACCCGCGTTGGGATGGGAGGCCTCGACAAGAGGTGTTTCTTCGCCTCCAGGCTCAGACTTGATTGAAATCTATTCCTATTCAACTGCCGGCCGTGCCGATATGTGGCCTGGTCCCGCGCACTTGGACACCCGAGCACCCGCCAGGGATCCCCTGACGTCGGGTCGTCGGGAGCCCCTCCCTCGCCTCGGGCAATAAGGAGGAGCGCTCACCTGACTTGCAGTTCACCGACACGGAGGCGTCTGTGGATCGTGTGTCTTCATGCGGGGGAAAGCTCAGGCCATCCCATTCCCATCATGACGAGGGTCAAGTGATATGCTCTGTTTTGGCAAACATGGGCGAGGACGTATAAGCAGACTCGAGATATGCGCATATTTTATATATAGCACCATGCACATACATACGAGGGACACCGTGAGACACGTTTCGACTAGACTTGTGGGCGTCCATGCGCGGACATATTGGCCCTTGTGCTCCGGATTGCAAGCTCCTCTCGGGCCCTGAGCGCATGTGTGGCTTTGCCTGACCGCCCCATTGCCCTGAGTGCCGGAGAGAGAATCCGACGGCGGGTCTCACCCAATTCGGTGCGTCCTTCCTTTTCCTTCGTTCAGTGAGTTGCTCCGTGCATATCGAAACAAATATCATTTCCATCCCAGGTTGGGGGCGCCCAAACCACTTTGAACCACCTTTCGCTCCACCGTGCTGCCACCGGAAGCTGATCCGCGGTGGCGGTGCAGTGGAGCAGACGCCTTCCAGCCTTGACTCTTGCGACCAAGTCTCTGTGCCAGCAAAGATAAAGAAAGAGAGAAAAAAAAAAAGGACCCTCAAGCCAGGTTCGCTCTCAGTGAGCAGGCTGGCCCGGGATGGGGAAATATCTGCTGGCGTGACAAATTGGGATCAGAGGGGGAAAAAAAATAGCTGTCGGGCAGCAATCCCTCCCTAGCCTGCGCCGGCAGATTACAACCTGGGCCTCCTTCAGCGAGCTGATGCGCCCGGGCGCCGAGTTCGCCCAGAAGCGAGCACCAAGGGTGTGCCTGTCGGTCACTTAAAATTCCCAGGTGCACCTATAATACTGATAGGCGTAGCAGGAACTGGTGATTCGTCCTTTTAGCCCGCGGAACGGCCGACCGTGCTCCAAAGGGGGACAGCTTTTTGGAAGATGGTGCGTTGTCTGGCCATAGCTCTTTCTCTGTAGTCGCGGGGGGCACCGCGAACATGCGCGTAATTTGTTGTGCCATTGGGCCTTCCCGCTCTGACACCTGGCCGTTTGTCGGCAAATTCCACCCACCCGGGCTGTTCTCCTTCTCTGGGCGGCCAACCATCATGGTGAGAATCTGGCGCACGCGCGCGCAGTGCTCACGGTCTCGGCAGGTGACCAATGCTCGCACCGATCACAGCCAGAGAGCTCTTGATCAAAACACGCGCCCCAAGTGGCAGGCTCGCCCAGGTTGGGAGGAAGAAGCGAGTGGCGGCAGTGCGGCATGCCGTTCTGCGGCCACGAGTTTACACTAGGACATCCCTGATTGGCGGCTCCTCCAGCATGGACGGCGTCGTGGGCGGGTGCTCCTTGCACTCAAGCCTGACAATCTACGCCTGGCGGCGGCTCGTGGGGAAGGAGGAAGGATTCTCGGCCGTCCGTGCCCTCCATCAGCCGTCATGTTTTTCGCCTTGGCCTGTGGCGGCGGCCATGAACTTGTTGAAACGCTCGACGGTTTGCGAGCAAATGTTTGGCCGCCTGTCTGTGGCCAAACGTTTGGGCCTAAGCTCCAAACCAAGGTCGTCCCCACCACGTCCCTGGACGGGCAACCCTTGGGCACTTTGGAGCATGGTGCAGTGTAGCATACCGTGTGGGAAAGCTGGCGCTGGGAGGAAGAATGCGGTATTGCATGCCGCAAATGGATGTACTCTGCTTGGTGGATGCTACGCTGCCCTCTCCTCCAATATCGCACTCAGTAAAAAGGGAAAATAGACCACGGAAGGATGGCAGGCGCAACCCAACGAAATAACATGGCCCCGCTGGGACAAAAGGATTCAACTCATCACAATACAAAAAGAACGGACAAACGAGGCCGAAGGAATTGAAAACGCGCACGGATCAGGAAACAAGGCGAGGATCACGGAGGTCTCTCCGCAAAGAGATCTCCCGTCGTATTGGCCCCTCCTGAATTATGCGCCGAACATTTGGAAGCTTCTATTTCTGACAAGGGTGTGACGCGTGCGTGTGTGTGTGTGAGTGGACACGATTCCACGAGAATCCATTCACGCATTCACTGACACGATACATGTTGGCATGGTCCAGGCAACGAAGCCCATGGACGCTAATGCCAGGCAGTGCTACAAACGGAGCGTGTTTGCGGAGGAGGGCCACGCTGACTACCCTGGGCGCCGTAGCACGACATGTATTCCATGCAGAGCGGCAAAGATTACCTGCCCAGGAAGGTGTTAGGAAAGTAACGTGGCTTTGGTTTGGACCGCGAGACGAGATGTTAGACCAAAGGCCACCCTAACCAGCTTCGGGGCCGATTGCATTGGCGCCGAGAAGAAAAAAAACAAACAGGCATGGTCGGGAAGAGCGCACAGGATGCATACACCTTCATGCACGCCTGCTTGCGAACGGAAGGAACAAACGAGCATCGACGGCCTCGTTCCAAGGCTTTTCCATGCACTAATCTTGCACGGCTCCGTTCCTGCAGCTCCGCGCCCGTGTTTGGGTCCTCTGGCGAGCCCCGACTGCCCCTGCTTGCCCTCTCCCCTTGTTCAGGAGAGGGACAACGCACCAAGACCAAGACCAGGTTGTTTGCAAGGCTGCAAGGGTGCAAGACGGAAAGAGCGCTGCGCCCCCCCTTTTGTTCCCGCACCTTCTCAAAGTCTTCTGGAAGGTTTCTAAAAAAAATTGGGGCCCCATCGCCTTTCGTTGCACCTCGGTGATAGGTGCAGCCCGCTAGACGGGATTGGTTCTAGCACTCCCGTCCGACCTCCCAGGCCGCCTATCACGATCGCGAGGCACGTCCAGATCCCCACCGGCGCCCGTACCTACGATCTGAGGCTCGTTCCCCCATTGACAGCTGGAGGTCCTCTCTGGGCTTGTCTTTGGTTTGCGTCTGAAGCAAGCCTAGTGCATGCTCTTCCAAAATGCACAAAACGCCTGGTAATTTCGTTTGCAGCCCCTGACTTCACCCAGACACCCCTCCAACCAGATAGTCACCCAACCACACCAGGAGCAGGCGCGACCAGCCAGGTGGCAGGCCAGCCACAGCCGGGGCAGATCATGACGCCAGAGAAAAAAAAAGGCACCAAGCCTTGGGGCAAATTTGGCTCTTCCCAGAGATCGAGCAGGCCGGCTAGATGAGAAGGATGCCGGAAATGACGAAAGGGGAGTCCATTGCTGGCGGGCGCATCCTCTCGATTTGGGTTAGCTCCCCCAGGGACTGCATGACTGAGAGACGCCCTGCCTGCGCTGCCTGCGTGACCACGAACTTCTTCCTCTAGTTGGAACATCACCCAGAGGCGGCTGGGATATGGAAGGTGGGCCAGCTTGGTCGCGGCAGCGACCCGCACCGCATGCTGATCTGAACGCGGCGTGCCCGTGGGACGCTTCCCAGGGGGCAGCCTACACGACTCCGTCCGCTCTTCCCTTCCTAGGCATCCCTCTCTCCCTCCTTGCTGGGGAAGCCTTTTATCCACTCAAACAATCCCACCCGCATGGCCGCGGTGGGTTCGATTCGAGGCGGCGTGCCCCGTTGGTTTCCCAAGTGGGGAGTCTCTCCAGCTGATGTGGTCTATAACGACAAGACCTTGCGCTTTTTTTTTTTTTGTCCTTCAACGGCAACGGCGGCGGTTGTTCTGCATCATGAGCAGGTCGCCGCATCTCGGGCTGTGTTGGTATGGGCATTTGTATCTGACATGTTTCATGGGGGCGCACCCACCATCTCGAGATTGCCGCGGCAAGCTACGCCCTGTCCGTCCCAAGACAGGGCCAAGGCGAAGGCGGCGGTGACGAACATGCAGACGATATCACCTCAGCGTCCCCTCTCATGGTCTGTTTCTGTACGGGCGCAGCAAGGGAGAAAGGCCAGAGCTGGGCTCTTTCTGCATAACACGTGCTGTCGTATACGGGGTATCTACCTAGGCACCTGGGCGAGTATACTAGATAGGTTTGGGTTCGCTTGGAGTCCGCCGGCGCGGCCGTTGAGGCGTGGCACGCATGGCGCATGCCTGCCTCGATACCGGGGTTGGCAACGATGCACCTCCTTGCACACGCGCGCACGCAGGAGGGCTTGAACAGAAAGCATCCCGCCCAGGACAGGGCGCGCAGATGAGGCTGACATCACTCGTGGGTTTTGACTGGCCGAAAGGGGGACGTGTCGACGCAGGTTCAATCTCTGGCCCCTGCTCGAGAGCCCACTCATAATGCGCCCGAGCGTCCTTCTGGAAAGATTTGATGGTTCGAAGATCTGCGAGTGGTCGGGGGGGCTGGTGGAGGGGGGAGGGTCATGACAAGGTTACGCAACCGCAATTTCTCTTCCGAGACAAAACCACATCCAATTGTCAAAAGGCAGGTAAGAAAGGGGGATTGTGTAAGCATAGCAGACACGGATATCCGGCCAACCGAATTGGCTGCATTGCTGATCCACAAAGAGGGAAAACACACGGCATGGCACAGAGTACCTGTGTTGGATACTAACTCCTCCGCTCTGCCTCTTCCATGTGTTTGTGAGGGCAATGTCAACTGAAGTTCACTTGCCGTTTCAATCCGCCCCATATCGACCATCCATTGTGTGGACGAAGGTGGACGGCTGCACGCCCCTGGGAACCCGTCCATCCTGAGGACCGGCCGGGAAGCAGAGGTTGACGGTTGCCTTGGGGAAAGAAAGGACAAGACGATGCTGGGTGGCTGGTCAGGGTGTGCGGAAAAATCAAATCAAAACAATCATATAAACGCAGAAGAAAAGCAAGGACCGACAGAGCTGGCGCTGTGGCTGGGCAGATCAGAGATCAGCTGCGCTGCTCCATGTGATGACTCTATTCCAGGACCGTCCAAGCCAAACCGAGAGCCATGCCCAGCGTTGTCGTAAACACACCGGCTGTGATGGACGGCACGTCCCAATTGAATTCCAGCCCAGCGATTTCCCAACCAGGGCAGATCACCGAAAGCGGGATGATGCCGATTATAGCGTTGACTCGCCCACAAGGGGCGTTTGGTGCCCAGCGCGAGAAAGCCACAGCATGAGCCCACCCCGGGCAGGCTGAAAGGTTGCCACTGAGCTGGGACGAAGGGGAAAAAAATCTGTTATTAATAGTTAAAGCGTCGCCAGTCAGTTGCACTTATAGCGCGACATGCTATCAGGGAGGGATGCGATGGAGGACAGCACCCTCGATGTGATTTTTCTCTTTGCTTCTTCACTTCCCTTGGGCCTTCTCACGCCCAGACGATCGAGGCGACGCAGCTTGCACCGTCTGGTGATCCCAAAAGCCCGCCCAGCCCGTCCACGGGCCCTGGCCACTGCAGCGCCCCACACGTGCGGCCCCTGCCTTCGATTCGTTTTCGAAAGGAAGGTCGGGTCTGGTGCTCCCTGCAACCGTCCGTGCCGCGTCGGTGGCTCCTGCCTGCGCTCCTGGCGCCCTGGTACCTCGATGTGGATGTGAAATAAGCACGGGTACCCTGAAATGTTGCATTGCCAGCGGCTTTGCCAGGTGAAGTCCCGAAGTACCTGAGCCACCCCGGCACACCCAGGCGAGCGGCCCCGGAGGGGAGCACTGTTCCACTCTAGCACCCCATTAGGATTAGCGCAATACCTTGGCATCTGTTTTGCCGTAGCTATTGAATGTGGGTTTTCACCATTTTATTGCATTTTTTTCTTTTTCTCTCCCTGAGTGCCACTTCATTCGTTTTTTTCTTCTTGCGTGGTCCTCTCCGAAAACTCCGTCACACGTCGATTGACCCTTACCGTATCCCCCCCCATATACCCATCCGCGCTTCCCCTTCCATGGCCGTCGCCTCTAACCCTCCCCCCCGGACCTCTGAACACTGAACCTCCGCCGATAGAGCTTCCAGCCAACGTGAGGACAGCCGCCAGACGACATCACGAACCCGCGCTACTCGGATCTTCAGGAGGTACGTGTGTTTTTTTTTTTTTTTGCCTGTGGCTCTTGCTCGCAGCGCCCGCAACGCGTTTGTCTATCGACCTACGTCTTGGGTGCTTTTCTTGCGTTACCCAAGCTTTCCCAGTGGCGCCATCCGTTGCCATCTGTGTCAACGGACGCCCTTTCTGGACACATGTCGAGTCCTCAAGTCTCTCTCGTGCATCCACCGCCATCGTCGGCGCCTGTGCTCGAGGCGTAGTCATCCCTTGCTGCCCTAATGTGGCGGGCCTGGGGGCTTTTGTCGCACACGTCTCGATTGATCACTGGGCTGGCAGGGCGCGCATCCACACGCTTCTCTTCTTGAGAAGACCGCGATTCGGCTTTCTTTTCAACCAAGCTTCCTAGGCACTCCCAAGGCTAATACGCTCGCCCGACGCACACAGAGCGATACACCACACACCAGCATCGAAATCCGCCTCTCCGACACCCCACTCGCCGACGCAATTGCCTGACGAAATCGCGTGTCTCGGTTCGTAATTTGGAGGTCTTCCCGCCACGCAAGAGGCGAGAGCAAGCTCGTCTAGACTCCTAGGTCACGGCAGGGAAAGCGCGACGGGGTTTAAAAATTCGCGACGGCTGCGAAACGCGGGAGGACGACAAGCTGCCGCACGCAACGTTTGCTGTGAGCTAGATATTTGTTGCAAACTTTCCATCCTGCAGCTCTAGCTCGAGTGGTCGCCTCGAAATCGCCAATCCCTGATTCGGAGCTGGTCCTCAAGGTGTCGACGTCGTGTGGGCCCAACCTGAAGACCCGGCGCGCGCGTGGTCAAAGCTCCCTGACCCTCGAACCGGCAAAGGCATCTTCGCGAGACGATCGCAGCTTCCACAAACGAGCAAGCAAATCTGCTGCTGCCTGCTGCGCATTTTTTGTGTAGCTTTTCCGTCACCTGACCGCCAGTGCTGGCCTCGTAGTGTAAGTTAAGGCGCTCACGCGTGGCTGGAGCAACTCCCATCACACCGCTGCCCTCAACCCCAATCCCTGGACGTGGCCGTGTCATCAAGGGTTTCGAACTCTACGACTTCACGGCTCCGGACTCGCTGTATGACGCATCCTCCATCCCGTCCCTCCCGGTGGCCCCGCCAACCATAGTCAACAACCTCAACACGATCATCCAAGCCGCCCAACGCTGTCATCCCCCAGCGCCTCGAGGGCCGTTCCCTTGTTTCCTGACCCGATGCACTGACATGTCACAGCTTTGAGTTTTCGGATGCGCAGCTCTCGCTGAATTGCCGACCATACGCTCCCACCCACAGCAACAAGCAAAAAAGTAAAGTGCGACGACTTCCCCTCAGTTTGCCGCTCTCCACAGTGGAGGCGAACTGCTGGTCAAAGCGTGCATCGGCGCCTTGATCGCCGAGTGTCCCTCTGCCGGCTGAGCTGATACTGAGGCTCGTCCCTCCCGCAGTTGCTCCCGGACGGTCAGGTTCTGCACTATGTCGGACCCAAGGCCCGCCGTGTCTCCCGCCGTCTCAGTGTCTGGCGTGGGCTCGGCCCCGCTGCAGAGCCATATGTCCCTTGAGGCCGTTAAGCAAGAAACTCATGGGCTGCAGCCTCTGCAACAGCACTACCACCACCAACTCGCCCCGCTACCTATGGATCGTGCCGACTCCCCCCATGGCTCAGAACACTCTCGCTACTCAGTACCGCCTCTGAACGGAATGGACCAGCCCCGCCCGTACGGCTCGCCCGCCGCGATGCATGCTCCATTACACATGTCCGACATGAACAGGCCGCCCACCAGTCTTCCCATGAGCTCTCTACCACTGCCGTCGATCCAGCCCGTTCTCGCCCCCGCCCCTCCAGCAGCAGGAGCTATGTACGGAACCCAGGAAGCACCGCAGCCTCCACCCAAGGCCTACCCCTGCAGCACTTGCGGTAAAGGTTTTGCTCGGCGGAGCGACCTGGCACGGCACGGTTAGTTTCCTTCTGCTCCCTTTATAACTCGCTTCCTTGAGAAAGCGAGCCTTGAGAGGACTTGAACTGACGCGGATGTCACAGAGCGCATCCACAGCGGGGTTCGTCCTCACATCTGTGATTTCCCAGGCTGCAACAAGAAGTTCATCCAGCGATCTGCCTTGACGGTGCACCAGCGCGTCCATACCGGGGAGAAGCCCCACCAGTGCGAGCGATGCGGCAAGGTTAGTGATGGAAGAGAACCAATGTGGTTGTCCATTTTCTGTCTAGACTGCTTACATCAAATATCTACAACAGCCCTTTAGTGATTCGAGCTCCTTGGCAAGGCACCGTCGAATCCACTCGGGCAAGCGGCCGTACAAGTGCCCTTACGCCGACTGCCAGAAGACCTTCACGCGCCGTACCACGCTTACGAGGCATCAAAACCACCATACGGGAACGATCGAGGAAGCCGCAGCTGCGACACGCGAGGCACTGGCCAGGGGCCCGACGGGAACGGCGAGGATGACGCCCACCCATGTGACCCGCTCCGAGGGAGACGCTGGGTCAGGCTCTAACCACGCGTCGCCCATGTCGACTCCTTCGCCCGCCCACCGGACCAACTCGATGTCGCCGTCGAACGAGCTGGCAGGCATCGGCAGCATCCAGTCGCAATACGTTAACAACTCCCTGCCCAGCCATCTGCGCGGCGATGTGCATGCGGGCAGCCCCACATCGACGACCTCGTCGGGATACACCAACAACCGCCCGACATCGCACCCTACTGGATACGGACCGCCGCAGGTCCTTGAGCCCAACATCGAGACTCGCCCAGGGCCCGGCAGCGCGAGCGGCAGCCCGCACCTGGGGAGCGTTGGCTGGCAGTCCCCTTCGCACGCGCCGTCGCCTTCGCACAGCACCAGCGGATTTGTGTATCCGGACCCGGAGGCATACCCATCCAGCGCTGGAATGGGTCCGCTCTTTTATAGCAGTGCGATTGCCGGCGTCAGGTCTGGAAGCGCCGAGCCTGGGCAGAATAACGACTACCCTAAGAGCCGGTCCGCCGAACTCTGGGCGTCTGCTCAGTGACATGTCGCTGCATTTTCTTTTGGCACATCCTTTTTTTGTCGCCCCTCCCGTCTTTTTTCTCCGCTTTCTCTCCCATCATACCCCGGGCTTGCTGTCCCTTTTTCCCCCTCAGTTTCAAGGATTCTGTCTCTTGGTTGGGGGAGCGCTGATGCGGCAACTCCAAACAAAAGCCAAGAAGGAATTTGTGATCACTAATACGAAATGTCGCTATTTTCCTCGCACTTTGTTCCGTTTACTTGGTTTCGCCACCGGAACCTTCCCCCTCCACCGTACGAAAAAAAAATCACATCTCTTTTGTCATTTGGGCTTTAGAAGGATCATGGTCATGGGAGTTTCCTAAGAGTGGATCACAAAAGGATGGTGTTCAACTTACAATGTAATCGAATAGCATGAGTTACGGCTGCGGTGCTCTGGGGCCTCGCCCTTTTCTAATCCCCCAAGCCCGCGCTTTTCTATTCTCTGTTTTCTTTTGTTTCCTTTAGTTCCCTTTTTGGTTTGCGTTTTGCCCGGGTTTCGACAGGGAATGCACAGGGAAGGGACGGTACGTAGACTATAGCAGCAAAGCTAGCCCAGGCACATTTTTGAGAATCATAATAGCAGGTTCTTGATTTCTCATCAGATTTGGCGGTCCTCACTCTGGTTGGCCAGGAATCTCCCCGGCTCGAGAACCTGACTGGCTGGGCGTGCTTGCAGCCGCCGCTCGTGGCAGCCCCATAAGCCCGGGCTTGTTGGTGGCGCGCGCTTTATGACCTGAGGGAACGAGGCGGACGTTGGACTCGTGAGCTGGCTCCGCTAGATCAGCCTCGGCTACTTGCTGCCGCACTGACTGCCTACCTCCCTACACACTTGCTATATGCTGTCAAGAAGAGCGAGGTGGAAAAGCAACGAGTGCACGAGCTCCCACACTATTCGCTACTACTGTGCAACCACGACGGGGTTTATACTGTGCGACGGCCTCGGGACTTGGGGCTCTTTGGCCGACGGTGGTGGGCCTGGACCCCCTGGGCTTGCTGGTAGCACAGCAATTCCAGGCACGGCTGACTGTTCTGGGTACTGCAGGCTGAAGTGGTGTCAACTCAAGAAGAAAAAAAAGGCCGGCCCCAAGACGGACCAACAGACGGGAGGGGTTTTTTTAGTTTTTTTTTCTGATTACTATTCAACCCAGCAACAAAACACCACAAACACAGGGGCCCCGGATGCGGGTTTGCCGCATCGTGCAGCTAGGTTCTTTTGGTCCCCCCGTGACATGTTTCTTCGATTGGGTGCTTTTCCTTCCGTCTCTCGCTGTGGACATGGGCCTTTTTTCTTCATTTTTTTCCCTTCCTTCTGGGGTCTTCGCGGGGGAAGTCTAGGTGTCCGCGGAGCGAAGACAGGTTATATACACCGTCGACCTACCGGTCTCGCAGAAAATCCTGGCTGGACTTGCCCAGCCATGTAAGTTGGAGGTTAGAAGCTGGCTTGTTTTTCTTAATCCCGAATCAAGAAAATCAAATCCCTTCTGCTGATCACTTCGCACCACGACGAACGGCCCGCCTCTTGAGAGACCGGGGGAAGGGCATCTTTCTTGTCTTACCTGCTCTTACTGCATTACTTTGCTCCATCTTCTCTGTTTTGACACTTCATATCCTCGCCCGCTCGCATAATACCCTGTTCGTCTTGTGCACCTCCCTCCTCGGCAGGACCATCCCGGAGTGCGGTTAGCAACATATCTCCCCTTGAGAGACACTAAAAGAAGAAGGAGAAAAAGAAAAGAGATGGCACGGATTCGGGTAGACATCTACTCGGACACCGGGTGTCCCTGGTGCTACATCGGCAACAAGTACCTGGATCTCGCCATCGAGCAGTACTCCATCAGACACCCGGACGCCGTCTTCGAGCTGGCCTGGCACCCCTTCTTCCTGTTCCCCAACGCCAAAGTCTCTGGTGGGTTTGCTACTCTCTCGTACCTTGTTCCATTTTTACCTCTACTCTATATCTCTCTCCTCCCTCCCGAGCTAGGGTGCTGCTCGGACCTTTTAGAGGAGATTTGCCCGGTCAGGCTCGCCAGCCGGTGGGTCTTTGGGCTGTGGGAAGAGAAGCCCACGGGATCCACAACTACCTGTCTGTAGTCTCGTCCCTGTCGATCCCTCTTCGCGGAAGCCGCCGGAAGCGGAAAGATCTGTACTCCAGTCGAGGTCTGTCGACCGGTGTGTCGATGAA